CAACGTACTTTTCATTGTTATCCATTTTCTATTACCAAACATCACACCCTTTACAATCATCTACAGCCCCATGACCATTTGTTGTTACACCGTTATAGCCCCACAAGTATCATTTGACATTACAACATACACCCCATTCACATTCCTTATCAACATTAGTTTATTGTATAAAAGCCAAGTCAACCAAAGAATAAACATCGAACGTTTTATCTCTTGATTCGTTTCTGATCCTTTTATTGCTATCATCTATTTATCTACTCTTACCTTGGAGATTCTACCATTGTACGTATCATTACACGTGACACATTTGAAACGGCCCGTGGTGGATGATATACGGGTGGCCTGCCTGGTTTGGAAGGTGAAGATTTTGACAACCAAGAAGTGCGAGGATGTAGCGGAGGAGTCAAGGAGTATCATGAAGAAGACGCCATTGTGATTGGGAAGGTCAAGGAGGAGCAATTTGAAGTTGAAGTTGAAGAAGTGAGTGATTGGTCGGAGTGAAGTGGTAGCCTGCGGACCCTTAGCGGCACCCTTCATCTCTTTACATCTACGACATGGCCAATTGTTGTATCCTGGTACACATTCTCACGTTTGTCAACCTGCTTTCTCTATCATACGATGGAATTCCCCTATCACCCGAATGAAGGTTTACCTTGTCATCACCAACCTTATCCACATTGGTCACCTATTGCTATACACGTACACGCTTCATCACTGTAGCACCCGTTGCATGGTTGTATCACACACACCTTCTCGGTATACTCCATTAGGAAGCACACACACACACACCCTCTTTAACCACCATCATCCTTAAAGCTATAAATACGCTCAACAACCACCACTTGAATAAAGGATCAATCATATTATTGAGTCTCGTGACTTATTAGTCTCCTCTCGTATAAGTGATATTACAGTAATGTATCAAGAAATACGGGAAAGTAAGAATTCTTGGCATGCCAGAATGGGGTATAATCATAAACGATGGTGGGAATCCTAGCAGAAGGTAGCAAATGTCGATCCTCATTCTTGAACACCAATCCATGTGGTGTGATCGTTGGATCAAAATCGAAATAAACAGTTGTGCCAAGGTTCTGTATGGCTTGTCCGACATGAGATACCATTTGATTCGTAGCGCTCTTGCCCATCAACAATTACGCGGAATCTTGCTTTGCTGCTGCCAACGTGGAGCTCACACATGTCGAATCGATTATACGGTACATTGCCAATTGATTCAAGATATGTGTTCCGTAAACGCCGTGAGACTTCAGGGTCTTGTGCTACTCCTGCCGGTGCGCCGTTTCTGTCAACGAAGCGTTGTCTTGCTCCTTCCATTGCTATGTCTCTCAACTCCTTGACAGCCACCCACGAGTCATCATCCTCTGGCCAATCAGCAGGTCTTGGACACGCTCTTAAAAGATACTGGATCAAACCTGGTGGCAGATCAGCAACAACGATAGTCGTCTCGTGTTGTACGTTTCTCAGGAATGATTGAAGGATGCTGATATTATCATTCATATCGTACATGAACCATCCACGAAAGGCTGCTCGATTGTTGATACAAGATTCACTTGCAAACAGGTCCGGATAATCATGGCGAATGAGAGATGTATATTGGCGTATTCTTTCAGCACTCCCTGTAGGCGCTGATACACCCCACATCTCCATGCGACGAGGCAATGTAACTTGACCACGTTGTCGTATTCTTCTTGATAGGGAAAGGACTTGAGTATCTGTGGTGCGGTGTTCAACCGATACACCTCGGCTTGTTTGGAAGAAGTGTAAATTCAGCAGGTAGGCCTTGCCAAAGGATTTATGTCACCAACAAAAAAGCCGCCAGCTCTATTCCTAAGCCAATGTTGCTTTCTGCTTGCAGAGATACGAGGTATAGGTATCACTACTCAAAGGAACATCAATACACAAGAAAGAGATACAAAATGAAAATAGCCATACATAATCACAAAGAAGCCATCATCAGGGAAAAAGGGGAGATGAATGCCACAAAGAGACAATGAATCGATGGGCTGCATATAGTTGATCACAAAGATTAATAGGCGAGGAATAGCTAACCCATCGAAACTACATGTTCGTTCTCATTATTACGTACCAAAAGGCAGACGTGGATGGCGTGCGCAATCAAAAGAGATGTGTGATGGTTTTCGTGGGAACAAGCGTTGCTTTTGCGTGCTTGCAATAGTGGGCGTGGGAATGGTTGTCAACACAAAGAAAAGAAAAGAAAAGAAAAGAAAAGAAGGCTGTGATTGATTGATTTGATAAATGATCCCTCACCTAACAAGGGTCACGATGAAGCTGCAATAGCATAAACAACTGATAAGTCTACCTGATGATCTTTGACCACTGCTTAAAAGAGGAATGCAGCAGTGACCCATGGTCATTGTGAAAAGGCATAATGATTGATTGTATCCTGCGTCGATTGGGCAATGCAACACCAATGCTCTTGGGGTTCCACAAAGACAAGTCCATGCGCATACATCTGGATAGGCCAATCACATGTCCTCTTGCCACTAAAACTTGCACGTTCACATTCGTCGTGTTACATTGCTTTTTATTTATGGGTGTGGTATCGCCAAGAACAGGGAAGAGTGTCATGGTAGCACGTAGTGGACAATATGCATTAAGTTTGACGATGGCATTTACAATTATTTGGGAGATGAAAGGATGCAAGATCATGGTAGGTTAAACGAATTCCTACCAATGTATAATAGAGGATCGATGTATACAACCATCACCTGTTGATATGCATCAACAGCAGGTAGAGTGCTTGGTTTGGATCTTGAAAATGCCAAGGTCTTGAAGATGAAGGTTGGGTAGATACCACACATCAAGCTCAGTTGGGAGTGGGGCGACTCGATATCCAGCTGAGTTGTCAAATTCGGTCGTGGTATCACTTTCTCTCCTTCAAACTTATCATGGTCCTGCAGGAACTGGAAGCTCAATTCCCTGGGCGATCAAAGTAAATTGCCACATTGCTACAGCTCATGGGCGAGGTGAATATTTATTTCAAGGTCAATCGGTATAGAGGATACTAAAGATCTGCGACAATAGCCTAGCGATGCCGTTCTTCCCAGCATTTTCATTTACGGCCACCCCTCGTCAGGCAAAACCAGTGTTGTTCGTGCCATTCTCGAAAAGACACTTGCTTGATCCATGTGGTCATTTATCAACTGCATCGAATGTCATACGCCACGCATGCTGTTCGAACACACAATCAACCAGTGGTGCGATTGGACGCCTTCATACGAGAACAAGTATACGGGTGTACGCCGAATAGACAACATTCATCAATTTGTAAAGGCGATCCAGGAAGGCGTTGCATTGGATGATGAGAGGATGATTCAGTTTGGTGATTCAGAGACGCGATATCTTGTACTCGATCGTGCCGAGAGACTTCGTGACATGGGATCTACATTGATTTATTCATTATTACGGCTAGCAGAAATGGTAATGCTCTTTCAATGCTTGAATGGATGGGATGATTGGTACCAACCAACACAAAAATGTGATAGACGGGTCGAAATATTTGTGTCATCATGATCAGCACGGTGGTCTTTGACAAGTTCAGAGTTCGAGGAGGTGCCTATGAACCACTGGTGATGCGATTTCCTGAATACACAAAGCAAGACACAATCGAGATCCTGCGTAAAGGTTACACCACGCGTTTGATCCAAGTGGAAGGTCGAGATCCTGTTGAGCTCAATGACGAATTTGTCGACGGCTTTTCTGAAATCATTTACAACATCTTCAATCACAACTGCAAGGACATCAATGAATTGCGTTATCTCGCGGCACTTTTGTTTCCGATATACATCAGACCTCTGAAGGATGGTGATTGTAAGTTTGGAATGGCATTCTTAGTATGCAAAGGTGGACTAATACGTGTGCTAATAGCAAGGGTGTCCGAGCGATCAAGGTTGTATCAGCTGGCATTACCATTCTTTGCCAAAGCAACAGATAAACTCTACTTGAGAGAGGTTTCGAGTGCTGAATGGGCCAAGGAAACGAAGCGATTGGATGAATTGGATGATGCTGAAGCAGAGGATCTATTTCGAAAGCAATCACGTGACAAAGGTGAGTGTCCTTTATATGGATCGTTGCAAACGTGTGAGGAGGCTTACAAGTGATTGATAGGCTATTTCGCATTACCGTATTACACAAAATTCTTGTTGATTGCTGCGTTCCTGGCATCTTATAATCCTCCGCGATACGATGTACGATACTTTGCCAAGGCCGGTGAGGCACGCAAGCGTAAGAAAGGAGGCGGTACTCGTAAAGCCAAAGTAGACAATCTCGGTGGCAAGGTATGTAAATTAACATGTGATTGGCTTTATGGACAATGGTACCAATGGTTGGGAATAGATGCGACCTCAGCTTCTTGGTCCCAAAGCTTTTCCTGTTGAACGTATGCTGGCCATCTTTTACAGTATTATCGATGATACCCTTGAAGACTCGATCGATATTCAAACGCAGGTTGGTCTTTGCATGTCATATGGATAGGCATTTTATTTATGGTTGGGATGCTTGCTAGATTACAAGCTTAACGACGCTACGGCTTTTGGTGCGATCAAACAATCTCGAGCGATTAGATGGCTCCAAGTTTAAGTGCAATGTTAGTTTCCAATTCATCAAGGCTGTGGCATCTAGTGTACGCTTCGAAATTGAGCAGTATCTATTTGATTTTTGTTGATAAAAACATGCATTGGTCTATGAGTCCTTGGAGTAGAGTGGTGGAGGATGATAATCGTGTAATGGTTGATTCAAGCTTTAAGGTATTGTTAGCATTCTATGAATGTGATAGATGCCCTTGATTAGGTTACATGTAACCATCAACGTCTATATTCTGATAACAATATTGGTTGATCATGGTACGTGCATGATTCAGTGGTCCCGTCGGGCTAACAAACATGTTCCATTAATAGCACAAGATTGATGGAGTTGAATTTGGTTGTCCTTCACAACGCTTCCCTTTACAGAATCACCTTCGGGCAATGGCAGCTGCACAGCGAACAAGTCAAGCAAACAATGGTGTCGATAGCTCTCTCCATCAGAGCATTTTGGCCTGGTATGTGTGTGTGTGTGTGCGTGTGTGTATGGTTGTCAAGGCAACATGCCAATGAGTTAGAGGGAGGGTAGAGTTGACCTGTGATCCCCATGTTGATCGTCCCAGGCTATCGCAGACTTATCAGTATGATTCAGACAACTACGATACGGGTATCCAGCGATCGCGTGTATATGAAGATTACATTGAGTACCTTCGCGTCAACGAGCCTGATCAGCAACCACTCAACGCAGCTGGTTTTGGAAAGCTTGTCAAAACGGTTTTCCTGGGTATACGCACTCGACGACTTGGTATCCGTGGCCAATCGAGATACGACTATTGCGGCATTGCATATAAACAACCACAGCCATTATCATCACAACAACAACAAAGAAGACGATCCACAAGTCCTTCACCTTCAACAGCCATGATGGATGATGGTGATACCGATATGCCAATGACACAACAACAAGGCGTGATAGTAAAGTATGTTTGGGTCCAAGCTGTGAATCACATCATTAATGCAACTTTAGTAATACAGATGTATCGTCTCAGCATGTTGGGTTACCTATCAATGGTCATAGTGAACAAGTATCATCGACACAGCAGCAACCCCAATCAGAAATTCAGGAACGAGAGATCCCGACACTACAGCTATTCATGGCACCACACACCACCGATCCTTCTCGGCAACCAGAATCTGAACAACTCACATCACTGTACCATAATCATTGTCAAGAGATACTCAAGCTCATGCTACTCAACCAAGATGTAAGTGTAAAATAGAATGGATAGCTATCATAGGAGATTGACAACTAGAAATAGATCAGCGATTGCGTTCACCAATTTTACTCAACGATATCAGATCCTATCCGCCAGATCATGAATGGAGATTCACAAGTGATGAACGCTATTTGGCGTTGGGATTGCGTGCTATATAATGTGAGTGTCAATGTATAATCGAGAAACATGGACTCATTGCTGTGGTAATAGACCATCATCCATGTCCTTTTCCCCTCAATACACGTTCCAATCAGCAAAGCAACACATGACTATTTGAAATCGTGTTCATCCAAACTATCAAGCTACTGCACGACGGCCTTGAGTGGATATTCGGAATCATTGATAAGCAAAAAGATGGCAGGTAATTTGAGAAGGAGGAGAAGCCGAAATGTATATAGTCAATCATTTCTCATACGGTGAAATAGTGATGCATATTTTCATATCCAAGCTCGATCGATTGGTGATTTCAAATCAATTGGCCCAAGCGGCGCATCATGATCTTACTACTCAAGCCAAAGACATGCTTGTGGATTGGGAAAAGAACAGCATTGACAACATTCTGGATGGAGCGCAATGGATGTCCCCTTGGGGTGGTAACGAAGGTCTCGGTCAACAGCGTAAGTTTTGTGGATTTCATTCACTTGCAAAAATATTCATCTTGGGGATGTATAATCAACAAGGTCAAGCTATTGTTACAAAGGCAGTGTCAAGCAGCCAACAACGATCAAAATGGAATTGGTGCCTGGGTGGATTGGGTATACGACATTGTGCATCAGCATTTGGTCACGCCACATGATACTATCAGTTGGGTCAAGGAGGCGATTCAACGATGGACCCTTTACAGCTCATTGATATTACGTGAATTCGCTTTGGTAGAAGATGACACTACTTCGGGTAAGGAAAGGTACAAAGAGGGAGGGATTCTAAAGGCACAATGGCTGATCCATGGTTGGCTATAGATGCATTTCGTAAATGCTGGACGTTCCTCAACGACTATGTGAACTATATCTGGGAGCAGGATCCATTGCTTCAAGAAACATGGCTGCATAAGTCCTGCTATGGCTATGCAGTTACAGCTTACCTTTTCCTCCTTTGGTACCATACGGACCAGTTCTTTATCATCATAATGCTTCTGTGGCAAAATTACTGCATGCGGTGGTCTCTCGCTTAACGTAGAAAGGGTGCAAACTTCATCACGGGGCGCATAGTTTTAACAAGGATACTCATGCTATTTACATCAGAGCAATAAAACCAACCAAGATTCATTGGAAAAGTGAGGCGGTGAAAAATGTAACAAGATAAAGGTGGCACAATGTACGATAGGGAGTGTAGACATGGTACAAGAACTATAATCGGCAACAGGAAATGGGGTGAAGGATGAGAGAAATGCAGGTACAGATCATCGTACACCTTTAACCGGAGCAGAGCAAACAAGTGAATGAAGAGAAAAGCAAATCGCACAGGATTGGAGATAGATAAACCATGCTGATGATACAAATTGTCGTCCAAGTTCAATGTAATGAGTAATGCACGCTGGATATACTAAAAGACATGTCGTGTTCGGAAATCATCATATAGAGACGTATTCGTTGATAATGGGTTGAAATCACCAAATCATTGAGGACCTGGTGTGGTGCTCCGGCTTCCTCGAGCTCTATATCCAAGTGGGCGAGTGTAACGTTGAGCACTGCGACTTCTCGCTCTTGTCCTTACTTGGCCTGTTGATCCTCTAACAGCTATATCTCTCATTGCATCTTCGCCAGGATATGCAGGTATTCTCCACCTCTTAATACCTCTGATCATGCTTATGTCTTCAAGTGCCAAATTGTAATGTTTCAGCAGATCTTTCCATGCACAACTGATGGTGACCCTATTTGTTATAAAAGTGAGTTCATAAGGGAAGTTATGTATGTATAAGTATCCCTCATTCTGTTACTTACATCCCACGTCTTGTGTCTTCGATATAATTCATCCACACCAAACGATCAATCCCTCGCCCATGTTCATTGATATAATCCGTGATCTCAGTTGTAAAGTTTGGTTGATCTTGTTCGTCACCCGGAACATCTTCAGCACGTAGATAAACATCATGAACATCATCACGACATACAAGCATCCAGTACGGTCTCAATATTCGTTTCAAAGAAAATGGCTCATCGATTCCCGCTTCTTCCATTACTTGTTGACGAGGCTGAATGTTATGATCACCCAAAGTATCAACGAATACACGGAAATAAGAGTTTTTGGCATGTTGTACAAGGGTATAATCATAGATGATTGTGGGATTGCGAGCAGAAGGTAGCAGTTGTCCAGCTTCATTCTTAAACACCAATCCATGGCGCGTGACTTGGGGATCAAAGTCAATGTAAACTGTCGGTCCACATGCTTGAATTGCTTGGCCAACATACAGACCATTTGTTTCATGCCTTTGTTCACCATCCACCACTACACGGAACCTTGCTTTTCTGCTTCCAACATGGAGTTCGCACATATTAAATCGATGGTATGGAACATTCCCTATGGATTCAAGATACTGGTTGCGCAATTGTCTGGATACTTGTGGATCTTGAGCTCTACCCATCGGTGCTCCATTTCTATCAACAAATCTTTGTCGTGCCCCTTCCATGGCGATATCTCTCAGCTCTTTCACATTTATCCACGTATCATCACCCAGTGGCCATTCGGGAGGACGTTGACAGACTTGCAACAGGTACCGTACTAATCCAGGCGGTAGGCCTTCGGAAGTGGGGGTCGTTTCTTCCTGGACATGTCTCAAAAAGGATTGTAATATATTGATATTGTCGTTCATGACGTAGATAAACCAATTACGGAATGCAGCTCGATTGTGTGTAAAAGATGGGCTGGAATACAAGTCCGGGTAATCATGTCGAATGATCGAGACGTATTGCTGAACTCTCTCATCGCTGCCAGCAGGAGCAGATATACCCCACATATCGATTCGTCGACGCAACGTTGCTGTACTCACAGCAGCCACCATCTCATGGTTTCGGGCATCGAGCACACCTTCATTACGTATAGCAAATGTCATATGTTTATCTAGCATATGGTAGTCAGTGATCAGTCAAGGTGACATGAGCGATGAAATAAAATAGGAATACATACCTCGAGCGTCATTAGCTCGGTACTCATTCAAGGCATCACGTGCTTCTTGTAATGACGTTGACAGTTGATCGGGCTCCCTACTAGCAGATGCGGCAAGCACTTGTTCTGAAAACGTACGGCTTCCCGGTGCAGCAGTAACAAGGTTTGGGTGTTGCAAGAAATCAAGGCATGTGTTGAGCAAGATGATGGTTCGCACCCAGCATAAATGCATGAATCTTGTGATTATTGGATTAACGCTGCCATAGTTTGCGTTCCCTGGATCATTATGGTAGACAACAACGCACCAATGTTGTGCAGGCTCAACATCCTCAGGTTCGGTGTCGTAGTTGAAACTCGTGTCATAGTTGCATACGCGTGCTTCCCCTGCCAGCTGTCTGTACCCTTCCCTCGACAAAGAATGCCTATAATGATAGCGTATGAGGCATAAAGAACAAGTTCATAACACAAGACGTACCTTCCATGAAAATTCGAGCGAGCAACCCTTGCTACTTCGTAACTGAACGAGACTAAGACAAGTGGTCTCAAAATATCAAGCAATGTTGCTGCATGGTTGATGTGCAACTCCCATAAAAAACGGTGCCGTGGTATAGGCCAGAGATCGATCATTGCAGGCAGCAACAGTTCCCTCTCTTCATCACCACCTTCAACTTCCTCTCCATGGGACATAGTGGATAGAATGGAATCAATAAAGTCTCGGGTCACAGTGCCTGATCTGCTATTGTAGAAGCTTGTTGCATTCGAAAAGTTGTGTATGGACACGTCTTTACCCAAGAGGACCAACGGGGTAAAAATAATGCCGCTATTATTGTGTTGGAATTGCTGCGCTGCATGTGGCGTGAATTGTTGATACACTGATTGCAGATATTGTTGCGTTATGGAATTTGCAAGAGCTTCGTCATGCTGTGTAAGTTGTGCTGTATACTGATCGAAAGCGGCTACAACATCTTGATTGAATTCCCGACGCGCCACCTGCACTTGACGCAGAACAGTACAATGATCATAGGCATAAGCAGCATTGATTGTATGGATGAATTGTTGATCCTGAGCCAACGGTTGATATGATATGAAATAGCCACCAGGTTGGCTGTTGAGTAAGAAATTGCGGTCAAGCAGATGTATCAAGAATCGCTCGGTGGCGTCCAACACCTCTTGATTGGGGCCTCGTTGGCCAAATAGACCTTGAACTCGTAATGGGAAAATCTCATGAACTTGAAATTGAGAATGAATATCCATATCGGTCATGGTACGATAAAAGTTGTTAAAGCGTCGCCGACCCACGACACGTGCAGCATCCAAGTCGTCCTGTAGCCGTGTTGCTGGTGTCGTATTCGATGTTGCTCCAACATATCGAATCCACACTTGAGTACCAGGCTGGTCGACGTGTGCTTGGATAAATGCATGCATAGATTCATAAAACAAGTTGTCTGCATAATGATGATGATAACGCTCCATAATCTGGTGTAGCTGCTCAATTGTCAAAGGTAATGATCGTACATAGTAAACTGTGGTATTCTGAGGAAAGGGTGTGTTGTTGTACGTGGCTGGTAATGCTGAAAGACTCGTCATTACATCTTGATTTGGCCTGATAATCGATTCATTGGCGATATCAAGGAGCCCACGCAAGACGTTGTCGCTTGCATGCCTTGTATCACGTACGACCAAGCGATCGATAAGCTGATACAATACTTCGAAGCTGATATCAACTTGGCTATCATCAAGACGATTCCTCAAAATTTGTACAAGTTGAACATAGTCGTTGAGATCGTGTAATCGATCCAGCGTGTACGCGTTGGGATGCTGACTCATGGTTGACTGATTAAAAAAGGGGAAGTGATAAAAAGGAAGAGGTAAGGTAAAACCTACAAGTCTGCCAGTTGTTTAACTTGGCTCGATGATTGCATCATGACGTTTCAAACAGTGATGGATTCATGGAGTGATGGATTCATGGCAACAACATCACGTGAATCACGCTTTTATTATCAGCATGCGGTGTACATGTGATAATCCAGCTTTATTATACAAATGGAACGAGACGTAACGTGTACAGAATACTTCCACCTCGGTGTAATAAAGCTATATCCTATACTAATCAAGGCCTATTTCAATCAAGGAATCCACTACAAGCGCCCATAACGATGTTGCCCTCCCTTGGGCGGTTGCCACAACGACAGCAACAGCCGCCTAAAGGAGATGAAATCATCCATTCTTCATGGCACATGTCAAAACATAGGATATTTTCAGGCCCTTTATTGTATCGATGCAAGTCAATAATAAGGGCTCTGTTGCCGAGGCCTATCCCTGATAACGATGTGACCCGTGCCAATTTCTTTTACTCTTCAAAAATAGATCCAATCTTTGATGCATTGCATACTGGATTCGGGCCTGCGAATACGCCATATGCCCATGTTTTACGGGACGAACTCTAAACTGGGCACAATAAAGAATAATGCGCATATGGAAGATAAGTACTAAATCGAGAACGCAATGAATAAATCATGGATTTCTTGACAATTTATGCTTGGGTAGCCTTTATTTTCAAAGAACTATCAACGAGTATCCATAAGTGGAAGGATCTGGTATGTCTTGTAGTGTTGTTAGGTGCTGTTTTTGGGAGAGTTCGTGATGGATGGCCTAATTCGTAGTGAACAGCAAGTGCAGTGTCATAGCCCACATCTCTAATAACCTTGTTTGATCCATCTAACACGTGACACATCCTTGCATTCATCATCATCATCAATAACCCAGTAGTCCAACTACTATTTATTGTATCTCAAAAGTAAAAACCAATGCCCGTTTGTTTCATGTGCACCATCCACCCATCCAATAAAACAATGTTCAAATGCAAATGGTATAAGACTTTCTTGTTCTAAAAGCGAATAAAATTGAATTCAATGGGGTGTACGCTGATACTAGAAATGCTATCGTAGAGGGGGGTGTGCTGTAACAAAGTCAATGGATATAGAAGAGATCCAACCTTCTACATAGGCAGTATTCCAAATCACCCACGGCGGTAAACCATCTCCATCAAAGATAAAGCCATCTCAACCATGCCATTCCAATCCATCATCACCTTCATCCGTATCCACGTAACATGATCCATCCTTCCTGCTGACGACGCGATAAACAAAGCAACATTCCAGTATTCTTTCTCATCCCTGCACTTGATCGCATCCTTCCATCCATAGCCATTGCAAATCCAATAAGAAAGAGCCATCATGCGATCGTTGCTGATAACCTTCCTTTTTCATCCTGCTATTGGTCTATCTCTTTCTTGGTCATATTCCATCGCAGCTGAACCATGTAAAGAGTCTTTGTATTGAAGTGTACTTGATAGATGATATGGCATCGTCCATAGGAAGTCGTATGTATTGAAACAAGAGGCAACACGTGAATAAAGCTGCTTCTATACAATGGCTATCTGTTGTTCGCGTCGAAAAAGGCTGGAAAGCAAGTTGCTGCAAGTAAAGGATACTGTTCGAGGCAATGCATAAAGACTTCGATAATAGCAACAGCTGCAGCGTTTGATCGTGGCAAGAGCGTGTGCTGTAGTAAAGTGACAAGGTTGTGAACGCTGTTTGAGACAATGGAGTAAAGACATTGCTAGTAGCAATTGCTGGATTGAATGCTGTTACGTTTGATTGTAGCAGAGGAGTATGCAAGAGAGCGTGTAGTATCAAGAGATGAGTGTGTTGCAGTGGGGTGCATACTCCATGGAACTTGCCATTCAGTCGAAGGCTTCCGGATCAAGACAATCGTAGGGTTGACATGGTCAATTGAAGCAGGACAATCGTTTGCAGGTGGTAGTCGCGCATGAATGGACCAACAGTTGAGAATGGGAGGAAAAGGCAATACGCTAGGAGCGGAAGAAGTGGAAATTAAATAGGTCGGATACCTCTTGTATAAATGCATGAACACTGTACATCAATCCTTGATTATGAGATTGCCCATCTCAAACATGAAACTATCACACAAGGTGCTCTGAAGCATGCTGATCAACTTCATTCAAATAAAATTCGCAGAGTTCATTGTGAAGATTTAAAATGCGGGGAGGTCCAAATGGTGGATGACGGGATCGATCCGGAACAAAAGAGCGGACGGCCCACCGCCCCGAAGTTGCCCACCTCCAACTTGAAAATTGGTCACCAGGGTGCTCTCGAACATGCTGATCAATATTTTCTAATAAAGACCTCACGCTTCATTTGAAAATTTGGAATGGGCGCGTCCACAAGTTTGAAAGACAAACACATTCGCAGGGTCTGCCTTTCAAGAATTGACATATTCTTTGTTTGGGCGTAGCTCAGTCAAATCCCCTCGGATCAAGAAAGTTGAATGATGGGCATGTTGGGCTGGAGCAGGACAATCGTTCACATCACGTAGATTTTTCAACAATGCTGATTGGATAAAAGTGGCTGCTAGATGCCAATGTATGACCTGAAACTGAGGTATGCGTACCTGTCATACATTGTCCCTGAAGCCCTGTTTTTTTAACTCAGTTACACAAAGAGGTCCTTCTGCATCTTTTGCTCTGCCAGGGTCCACCTACTTGACAATGAACAAAGACCACTCTTCATATAGCATCACGCTCACAAACATAAAGGTGCCTGTATCTCCAAACTTTACAATCAAACGTGGGGTTTTTATTAGAGCAATGGGCTCGGCTTGGCCAACAGCACCTTGTGTGAAAGTTTCGTGTTCAATGTCGCAAACAGCTCAAAAAATATTTTTTGGTCGTCGTCGTCGAAGAGGTCGACCCCTGGATCCAGTTTGGCTGGTAGCGACATTGCGAAATCTGGGATTGGCCACGATCAACGTGAAACTTTCACACAAGGTTCCTTTGACCCCGCCGAGCACGTTGATCTATTAAAGAGCCCACGTTTGATTGTAAAGTTTGGAGATACAGGCACCTTTATGTTTTACATATGCTGTAAGGGTGATGCTATATGAGAAGTGGTCTTTGTTTAATGTAAAGTAGTATGACTATAATAGAGCAAAGATGCAGAGGGACGTGTTGTGTAACTTGAGTCAGTCAGCACAGGCGATGCATAATTCTTGTACACTATTTAGGAATGGTTCATAAATGCCAGCTAATAACCCAGTCCTCACATTCGCCTTTGTTGCCCAATCCAATGCATGTGAACGATTGTCCTGCTCCAGTCCATCATCTCCATCCTTCAACTTTCTTGATTCGAGGGGATTTGACTTAGCAACGCTCAAACAACGAAACATCATTCAATACCAGAAGAATCAAATTGGGAAGTTATTTGTAAACTGCCAACTAATAGCCCATTTCTCCCACTCACCTTTGTTGTACAATCTAATGCATGTGAGCGATTGCCCTGCTCCAGCCCATCTCCACTATCGTTCAACTTTCTTGATTCGATGGGATTTGACTGAACAACGTTCAAACAAAGAAGTATCATCCCAACATCAGCTCAACTCACTTTAATTTCCACTTCTTCCACTCCCAACTTCTTGACTCATCCACCCATTCTCAACTGTGGGCCCATTCAAGTATACAATCATGACCTGCGATCGATTGTCCTGCTTCAACCCATCATGCCAATCCTACACTTGCCTTGATCCGATTGCTTTCGACTGAATGGCAAGTCCATGGCGTGTACACATCCTTCTTCTTGTCACTCTCCCAACACGTGTCTTCCTCGACACTACACATTCTTTTGTTCACTCCTCTTCCACAATCAAGCGGAACAGCATTCATTCCCACAGTTGCCATTAGCAAGGTCTTCATTGTCTCAAGTTACTTGTAGCATCTTGTCTGCCAGCCATTTTTACTTGAACAGCAGAGAGTCATTGTGTAGAAGCAGCTTTGTATTCGTGTAGTAACTTGCTTTAATATACGAATCACTGTACCTTATATTCGTATGGGTTTTTATTGTGTGGCGTGAGATGTACAAAAAGTGATATGTATGGGGATCTGGCCTATGTATGAGTACGATCATGCACGTTGTCGTGGTGGGATGCACTGATCTGTCCTCCATGTTTATTTATCCTTGGTTACTATCGTATGATGGATCATGTATGCAACGACGAGGGAAGGATATTGAGCTAGGTGCTGTTGGGTTCAGGTTGACGTACTAGCCACTTGGATGTAAACGGGGATGCAAGCGTGTTTAGAAAAAGCCAAGTTGCTAAATGTTATCATGCACGTCTTTGGTAACAACGATCAATGCAAACATCTCTCGCCACAGTCGTCAAGTGATGTGAACTTCGTATTCAAGCATGTTTCAATTAAAACAATCCTCGTCATCCAACGCAATACCTTCTTCTCAAATATGATTGTGGGGTACGCTACATCCAACAAGCATACCTAAATCGATGATGCATGCACATGATAGAGTTTACTGCATACGTATGTGGATAACCATGAAACATGCTATGGTCATGCGGGGTAAACAACAACAACTACGTATGTACATGTCTTCAACGGGACTACGTGCATTGGAAAGTAAAGAGAATGTAAAATGGTGCTAGCATGTCATGGCGATTTAAATCATCCTTGATAAAACACGTTTCACTATAGGAAGAGCGATGGTGTTGTCATTGATGAGTCAATACCCAATCGATCGCAAGTACGTAGTGATGATTATATTGCATCATGCACATGTATGTGTGGCAAATTTCTTTCACAGGCTGCGACTTGCGTGCGGACGAATGAAGGCATGTGGTGCATTCTGCATACCAGGCTACTCTATTCAAGGAGAGAAAGAATGAGGAGGCGTTGATGAAATAAATAAAGACATGCAGTACTCCATAGTAATAGTAGACATCAACATCTTTATGCTTGGACGCTGTGGATCAGTTTTTATGATTTCGGTGATCGACATAGACAATAGCATGGTGTGTAGACGTTAGCACTCCTTTGTGGCCATATAATACTCATCATCGACTATAAAGTAAAAAAAAGGGGGTTACGAGAGGGGATACATGTATACAATTTAATGACATCTGCATGCTACAGCTTATGCTGCTGCTGCTGCTGCTGCTGGGAAACAACACCCGCATTCAGAGGCAGCTGTAGCACTTTATGCTCGATGATCAAGTTGTTTCAGTACATGGTTGTTGTTGTGTATCCGCATGGTTCCACAAGCATAAAGAAATGGATGCTTAATCAAGGCAAGGGACATTCCATTTTGCATACCATTGCAGAGCCAGTACAAGATAAAGGAATGATCTGCAAGGGTCAGACAACTTTTTGTGGTGAACCACTGCATGATGGGATATTGTAGAAGAGTAAATATGATAGCAATTAAGATACTGTGTATTTTTAGGAGTAGTGGTCCATTGTGGGTGTAAGGCAAGGATTGGTGGATGTTCTTCCCGCCCATGTGCTAGGAGGAGAAAGGAGATTTCCGGGATAAAGGGGTGTGCAATGAATAAAGACTTCTGAGTAAAGCAAGGAGACCACATTTTTGTATATATATATGAGGCAAGATAAAAACACCGGTTACACACTCGCAGCATTTGGATCATATCCCCTCCTCTTTCATTCGCCACCGAGATCGTCATGGATTGCACTATATGTACACACAAGGTCTTTGTCACTGAGAGGATCGATGCTAATGGTCGACCTTATCACAAAACATGCTTCAAGGTATGTATCATTCTTCAAGAGCGTAACAAGGAATCAATGACACTAAATTTACACCTTGTCACCAGTGCTCAGAAAAGGGATGTCGCTTGACACTTGTCAATTTTCATTCACATGAAGGTCGCCTATACTGCCAAAAGCATGTCCCAAAGTTACAAGCCATTATCAGTCGTAAGTGCATTGCTAGTAGTTTACTCTATGATAGCGTGGTGGTGCTTATTGGCTTTTGTCTCGTATAGCATTGAATCGTCGTCGTCTCGTTCACAGCTCATCCACCAGCTCATCCAACTTGTCAAGTGAAGGATCAACATCATCATTTTAATGTTGTTGTCGACAATAAAAAGGACGTACATGATACCCATTACCACTACTACTATTTACCACTAGCTTTTGCTGTTTTGTAATAAGGGCAGGTACATTTTGTAAAGAAGGAACAGCAGCCACCACCTGCATTATACCTTATCTCTCCCTTCCTTGTCGTGGATTACCCCTCACCCATACACATATTCAAGAGAGAGTGTGTGTCTCATGTCATATCACAGTGTGCGGGGAAATGCCGGGTGGAGGCGGATTAACATTTGTAAAAGCGGGATTACTCTGCATTGTACCTCACTCTTTTGCAATGGTCTTATGCTCGCTGGCTTCCAGGCCACCCCTTTGCACATTCCTTTCCAAACGTCTCTTTTCAACATCATGTCCAGTGGCATCGCTTGATTACTATTTAACAAAGCCGCAAGGTGGAGGTGAGTGTGTGCTGCTTGTGCCATTGAACGTTGCAACCATTGTTGTCTCACACCTTTATTCGCTACAATAGAACACTTGCTAAGACTCAATTTGAACAAATCCAAGCAGCTTCTTGGTGAGCAATGACTTGATAGGTACCGTTTATTACAGCGTTTCTGATATGGGTATACAGGTATTACCAGCTCGCGTGGAACACGAAACCACAACGAGGATCGTTATCGGGCGGTTACTCTAGAGTTACTAGCCAGCTCCCACATGCAGGCTATGCGGCGTGACGCTAATCGTGCCTATTTTGGCGTGTTTGATGGGTAATTGAGATAAGGAACCAGTATAATGGTACATGGACTTATTCTTTGTGTTTTAGACATGGGGGACCTATTGTCGCGGATTGGTAAGTGGGAGGGGGGATATTCAAGGGATAGAATTTGGAGATATTCATGCACGTGAATTCATTTGTAGGTTGGCAGAGCAACTGCATAGTCGCATAGAAACGGTGTCACTGAACGATTTACCTCGTATCATGCGATCATTACGTACCTATGGTGGTTATTTTCGACGATTCAAGATACCCAATTCATTGAATGACCTTGTGGATGAAAATATGAAGCCCAAAGTGGACCCAGATGATCTTACATTGGAACAACGGCTGACATTGGCGTTCTTGGAGGCTGATGCCGAGTGCTTGGATCTACTTAAAGATGATGGCCCTGAAGGTTACCATGAAGGTTCTACCGGCAGTATCGCTATCATTGAGCCACAGGATCAGCGACCTTTCTGGGAAAGTCAAGCTTATGATATTATCATTGGTCATGTTGGAGATACGCGGTAGGTATACATGTGCTTGGATCATGTATGTACATTTTATGCTGATAGAGATTATTTAGGATATTGTTATGTGATGCATCCTCGGGTGAAGTAGTGACACTTACAACAGGGGATCACCATCCTGGAAATCCATTGGAGCAGGATCGATTACGCAAGTATGCCGGTTTTGTTACCACTGACTCGTGGGGTGATGATCGAATCCTTGGCATGTTGGCCACCAGCCGTGCATTTGGTGATGCTAAACTGAAGCGTTATGGTGTCTCAGCTGAACCCGACGTAGTACGATACAGCATTCGTAAAGACAATCCGGCGGCATTCCTGGTAAGCTAAGGGAAAAAAGGGGGGAAACGGAAAGGAGAAAGCAAATGGACGCATGTGGTCTTATTCTTTTCTTTGTTTTTCCAAAGGTACTGGTGACGGATGGATTGACATCAGTCATGTCAGAGCAAGAAATTGTGGACATTGTAAGGAGGATAAAGGTTTCTAGGGGGGGTTGTGTAAAAATGGTTATGCTGAAAGGATGGCGTAGGTAAAGAAGGGAGCTGACCCCACCATGTCAACCAAGAAACTTGTTGACATTGCTGATCAATATGGAACAGAGGATAATTGTACAGCTATGGTAAGTTACCCCTCTACTTGATCAAGATCAACAATGAAAACAGGAAACTAAAGTTTGTTTTCTTTATTCGGGATTAAGGTTGTCCGATTAAAAGATTGGGGGACTCGAATGCATGATCTTACAGCTGATTTGCGTGAATACCGGCTAGCCAATTCTTCAATGAGCAACCGTCAATCATGGTAGCGACTACACAATCCCTTTCGATATTCTCTTGTCCCTTCCTCAACATCTCCACCACCACCCACACAAACCCCAGCTTGTCATCCTCTCCACATCGGATCAACAATAGAATAAGAAATCGAGTGAAAGGCATTTATATGGGTTGTATCATTGGGTTGGCATGGCAGTAAGATGCTCATGGTTGTGATTTGGGATACGTGTCATATTGGGAAAGCGAGGAAATCATCTATGTTGATTATTTTGGTTTGCTGCTACAACGACCCGGTCACGTGATGTCTACCTCGCATTATAGTCATTTATATTGTTGGCTTCCCTATGTTGTATCACACTACTTGCATGATAGTTGTAAAAGATGAAGGTATGTGGTATTCAACCATGAATGATGTTTCCAGGGAGACGGAGTCATGGTAACACACACAATGCCGATGGTGTATGGGTGGCTTTCGAGCGCACTGTGACATCTTTTCCTCCGCTCTTGAGTCGGTGAATGATAGCTGAGCAAAAGTGCACAAGAAAAAAAGCGAGTGGCAGCTTTCTTCATATACACATACATATACAACTATGCCAAAGTCCAAACGATCGACCGTGGGTATGCAACGAATTGACATTTCTTTATTACGTTTATGAATACACAAGCCTAAACTATTCTTCATTCTAGTATCGCTGACACAGACCGAGAAGAAGGGTCGTGAAGGAAAGGAGAAGTTGATCGAGGAGGTAACTGTTTATGCATTGAAGGAAAAAGGACTTGAGATCACTGACCAAGGGAAATCGGGCATTGTATAGGTGCAAGCTGCTGTCGATCGGTACGATTACCTTTGGCTTTACTCTGTCAAGGATATGCGCAACACATTTTTAAAGGAGATCCGAAACGACTTTAAGACATCTCGCTTCTTTTATGGCAAGAACCGTGTTATGGCAAAGGCATTGGGCAACACAGTTGAGGAAGAATACAAGCCTGGATTATCCAAGATTGCCAAGGTATGGAAAAAGAGAGAGGGAAAGGGATCTATGTATGTGATTATGGGAGGAGGATGTTAATCATTGATATGGAATCATAGGAGTTGCACAGTGAAGTGGGTCTGTTATTCACCAACGAGCCATACGATGTCGTTGTTCAGTATTTCCAAAGCTACACACAACCTGATTATGCTCGCTCAGGATCAATTGCCACACAAACTATCAGCTTACCGGAAGGTCCAGTACAACGTGGTGTAGACCCTATGCCTCACAACATGGAACCTCTTCTTCGTCAATTGGGTATGCCTACCACTCTCAAGAACGGTATTGTCACCTTACCCGTCCCTTACACCATTTGCCGAGAAGGCGAAACACTTTCCACCAGCCAGGCACATCTTTTGGTAAGCTACACTTTTGCTCTCTTTTTATTGACCCCATGGGCTAATTATATATCTATTTGAAACCTAGAAATTGTTTTATCATCAACTTGCAGAATTCCGGGTGCAGCTCATTTGCTGTTATCACAATGGCGAGGTCAAAGAACTCTAGAATCATGTTATCCCATTCATACACAGTCAAAAAGCATCATTTTTCCATTGTACGCTAGTTATTAAAAAGAAAACTAAAAAGCTTAAACAAAGATCATTTACCATGTAAGGGTTCATTGTGGGACAGGTCTGTGCGATCTACAAGTTGGAAAGAAGGAAAAAAAAGTCGCGTGTTTCCCTCGTGGGCATATGCCACGTTTTCTATTCACCTCCTATTTTCCCATTCCTCGCTTTCTCCCTCCAATTTCCTCCCCCCTCCCCTTGTCGCGCGATCCAAGACTTCGGGGGTAAGCCAGGGAAAAGGACCACCCATTCATCATTGTGTCTCGCTCTCTCTCCTTTACCCGATGTGTATTAGGATACGAGCAAGTTACAAAGCATAATCGATACTTTTTTGGCATTGTCTTTTCAATTGTCCGCCTTAATTTCTTCCCACAGTGAATATTCAGGCTCATTGGCATTGTATTTTCTATTGGCACTATGTACAGCTGACGATGATGTGTCTAATAGAACAACACTCGATGGGGCCATCTACTTAATTATAGCTCACCCTTTTGATAATGGCACTAGTGTAAATATACCTATGTATCATCATGATACTAACGTGTTGATGTGAGTGGGAAAAGATCGGTGATAGTATTTGTTTTGTCAATAGAGCAGGCAGTGGGAAATGGCAGATGCATGGTGACGATCATGGAATTTGTCAACAAGACAACCAATGACACTACAATGGATCTCCGCTCATGCAACCTTAAACGAGAGCGGTTTTTGACAGAAACATAATTGCAGGTTGCTGCAGGCAATGTTACGCAACATGGTTTAGCAGTAATCACAGCAGCAAACTAGCCACCGTTATGCTATTTTCGTTGTGCTCGCCTTCCATTGTTTTTCATTGTGCGTGATGTCTCTTCTCGGTCTTGTTGCCATATGAAGCCAACCGATGCATTAGAATAAACACACGCATATAGCATCACCCTGAATGGGGGTCACACAAGAACTTGGCGCGCACCCTCGCTTGATTATTATATTATGCATGCATGATCATCAACCACCACCACGTTGACACAGCTTTTTCTCACGTTTCATTTTACGCAAGGAGGTATCATCATCATGCATTGGGAGTAAGAGAAAAAAGAGACACCAAAGGGGATGATGTACCTATGTGTGTGTGTGTGTGTATGCGAGGATGTAAAGCACAATTGCTCTCTCCTTGCCGTCATTAATCATGGATGGAAAAAAAGAAACAGGGACGCGTCTCATGTTCCGCTTGAGCGGAAGGAGAACAAGGGGAAATAAATGCCATGATCCAATCCACAGCGGGCGGTGGTGGTGGTGGGATGATGTTGATTGACATAAACAGAAACAAGGCAATCAACCGATCTTTTATACATCAGCGATCGACATGTTTAACACGCGTTTACCTTCCAAGTGAACTCCTCGAACGAGCGGATTACAAAGAGCCACGAACATCACACAATGAACCTACACACTGGGATTCATTAAAAACAAGTAGCTGCTTTTCCTCAAAGTAGAGAAGGAGTAACAATGACGAAATGAGTGTGCGTGTCTTTATTGTTCCTTTAGTAGGGGTTGAGGAACACAGATATGGGAATAATGACGGTTTCAAAAAGAGTTATGCATGCATATGCCCGTAAGATCGGTTAGGAGCACCCACGCATAGGGATGAAAAAGAAGGGATCCGAAGCAATGAATAACACGACCCGATCGATGATGGTGATGATGCTTGCGTGTTTATTATTATGTACGCACTCCTTATCTTGACAGACACGGCAAACGTGGGTGCTCCAAAAAAGGAGCATCAATAGAACCCTCCTCCCCCCCCGACAATGGGTCACCCACCCAAAACGATTATATAAAGGGCGACATCTTTATTACTTCCATTTCCCCGTTGTCCTTTTCTTTTCCTGCAACAACACTTTTTACAGTAACCATGGATATTAAAAATCTGCTTTGTTCATCATCGAATGTTTTGAATGAAAACGATGCCAACGATTTTCCAAAGTCGCCTATTTGGTCATCTTCTTCCTCAACATCCACGTTTTCATCATCATCATCATCGTCAACAGCCAATAGTCCAGTCTCATCTTGCTTTTCAACACCACCATCATCCCCTTCAGTGAATGAACAACAACAACAACAACAGCCATCTCAGCAACAACCACGACAACCGCAACGAACTCCACAAACACGTACTCCTTGGACAGCTGAAGAGGACTATCTTTTGCAGCAAGGTTACACACAGGGCTTATCATGGGCCATGATTTCAGCAAAGTATCTACCACATCGTTCGCGAGGCTGCTGTTGGGGTCGTTTCAAGACTCTGCAAACAAAGGCAATGGAACACCGTGAATGGACCTCAACAGAGGATCGTCTTTTATTGATGGCTGTCAAGAAGCATTCGCGTCTATTTAAACAAGCTTGGAAATCGGTCGCTGAAGACTTGCCAGGTCGTTCATGGCGTGAATGTGAATTCAGAACTGCTCGAATGATCCGCAAGAAGCAACAACATTAGAAACCCACAAAAAGAAACTTGACCTGCTTCAGAGGATACGGATGTTTACATCATCGTCACTGTCGAGTGCAGTGGAACCGTGGATCGGATCTCCTCTTGTGTGTATCAAATTTAACAAACTCTCTTGTCTCGGCCTCCAATGTCTATTCTCGACTCTCTCTCATCAACCAAATCCTTCACCTCCTCCTCCTCTTCTTTCTACTCCTCCTCTCACTCTCTCTCTCTCTCCCATCCTCCCACATTTACATGCCTATATATACCTATGACTAATATGTTATGTAATCTTGCTGTGCTTCAAAACCCTTTTATTACTACTACTACTATGATTAGCCTTTATGAAGTTGTCACTGCTGCAGCAATGCTGTTTGAAAAGTAATAAATCCCCTCTTGTATAGAATCATACTTTGACGTTGTTTGTTGCTTATTGACGACATTAATAGCGTGATGATCGGCAGTGATGATCATCTCCTTTATCCTTTTTCCACACTTGAAACACGTGTCTCGCTCTCTCTCTCTCTCGATCAGAAATCTCGCTCGAATGATATATGACGTCCTTTATACAAATCCATTACACGTAGTAGCAATAGTAATAGCAATAGTACAGTAGAATACAAGGGAAAACGATAACAAAATTAATACATCCAAAGGTAACCTTAAGCTTGTTGCTGCTGCTTGATTATGTCTCGCCGTGCCATATTCCATGCATCTGTCTTGGTACCCAATTCGACTATTGCCTCATGTTCCTTATCCATCAATGCCAAGGCTTCAACATCACACCATTTTCTGATATCAGACAATCCATGACGTATATCCCAAAGATACTTCTGCATTGGGGAATAGAAAGCACCTGTTTCATCTGGTTTCTTGTCGTAGCTGAAAAACGAGGATATATATGAACAACCAATTCAATCATCAGATTTTAATGATAGCAACTTACATGACAGGCTGTGGAATTCCTGGCAAAGCGGGGTACAATTCACGTGCTTCCTTGATGGCCTTGTAAGCCTCTTGAGGAAAGAACACTTGCCCTTCAGGCACCGATTTCTTGTCGTTGCTTTCCCGTAATTCCACAATGGCTTCAATCATGCTCTTGTCAGCCTTGTCTAGCAACTCGCGCACTTTATCCAGCTTTTCAGCATCTTCCTTGCATTGGTCCAGACGTGCTTTGGTCGCTTCCATTTGTTCCTTGGCGGCTTTTACAGCATCCTCCTCCTCTTTCTCCATCTCCTTGAATAGGCCATCCAGTAATTCGGTCAACTCTTCACGGTACTTGACAAGTGAACGATGATCCACAGCATATTTTTCATTCTACCAATGTGAATGAATCAATAAAAAGTCGTCCCATGGTTCCAGTAATAACGTACCTGGCTCTCCGCTTGTCGGATCTTCTCATTCTCTTCATCCAACTTGATCTGTGATTCATCCACTAATGCTTGTGCCTTCTCGATGCCCTTGTCACAACGCTTCTTTTCAGATTCAATCTCACACTAAGATCAATCAATAAGTCAATGAGCGGCAAAAAGACCATGTAAGAAACGTACAATACACCAATACAGGAACCATTGAAGCGTCCATCGATCCAAACCATTCCTCTCCGTCTGCCACATTTTCCTGCGAAATCACAATACACATGTGTGTCAACGTTTTTGCATCTCTATCCATGACCTTTTACTATAATTACAATTTTGCCTTTGCTTCTGTGCATGTTTGTTCTGTGGGTTGTCGAAAGACCTCGAGTTTACGAATATGCAGTTGGCCTTCTTGATATGGTTTCTCAACGTGAGCTACACCAGCAACAGCGTGCGTCAAGTCGTCCATAAGGGTAAATGACATGGTTATCAGAGGAAAAGAAAAAGAGACAAAGAGCGAGAGCGAGAGAGAAAAGTGGAACTTTGTGTGTGTGTGTGAGGGTGTGAAAAAGGACAAAAGGGACGAATTTCCCGGCACGGAACATTTTCTATTTGTGCTCTTTGGATTCCTCCATGATGTGGTACTGGTTTGTGTAACACCCAATCAAAAGGTGAGGATGGCTTCTGGTGGAATACAGCCTTCCTTGTTCAGATAACTGAAAACGGGTCCCGTTTGCTGTGCATCCATGTAAAGCAAGAATCGATCAAACCTATGTAAAAGAAAACCTATATTAGACCCAACTTGATCCTCCCTACTCCCTCTTCTTTCCTCTACTTACAAGTTTTGTTCTTTTTCGGTTGCCAGCATTTCATCAATGATCCATCGTTCCTTGAATTCATCCATTGCATCCTACGTGTGTAAAAAAGCTTAATCAGTACCACTGGATTACATAAGCCAACAGTAAAGCTATGATGATGTTCTACCTTGTATGAGTCAAATGATATAGGCGAACGATCCGGTCGATCAGCGATACGTTGGTTGTACCCATCAAAGAGAGGTTTTTCAAGCAAGAGACCAAGTGCAGGTGCCTTTGGGATGTTGATTTTGTGATGCTCAAATGACTGAGAAATGACTGAAGTGGGTGTGTCGGTGCGTGTTACGAGCATGGCCATAGCAATCATCTTTCGGATCTGGTGTAACATGAAAGATTGTCCCCGGAGCTTGACATTGACCCATTCCATACCATCAAATTGCTTTGGTTGTCCAACCTAGCATGATCATAGTAGTAGTAGTATGAGCCATCTTGTAGAGTAATGTCATATATATATATATAAATGAGCTTACCTCGACTCGCATGATGTAACGATTGGCACTTGGATCCGATGAGTTGCGTTGAATAGTGTAGTTGTGGAAATTGTGGGTGCCTTGGAAAACAGCCATCGCATCTCGAAACTGTTCCAATTTGGTGCTGCTGATACGACATTGATGCTTCTCAGCAATACTCTCGCGAGTGCTGACAGGGATATAGGCATTCTCTTCAGCAATGTAAAGATCAGATGGATGCTCACGTGACGACCGTAAATGAAGGGAACGAGATGGCGGCATTTCCAAGGTGTATGTGGGTAACCAATATTCATATTCTCGACCATTGCAAGCCTTTTTTGCATGAAATCCACCCGTGACAGGAGTGTATCCTATTACACAATGAGTATACAAGATGCAACATTAGAAAAGCGTCGTCTTACCCCACACTTTGATTTGATCAGGCAGATGTTGGTTGATTTTTGAGACAATATCCGGATCTTCCACAACCAGCTTGGCAGATACCACATTGCCAACAGCATGAACGCCCTTATCAGTACGAGCTGCTCGAGCCATTTGTATCTTCATATACCCATATTAGCTTATTGTTTGACAATATTCACTCCCTTCATATGCTGTACCTTTTTTGGATCCATCGAATTGAGTTCTGATACTGCCCCAGCCTTGCATAACGCTTCAAATAAAGTTTGCTCGATCGATCGAATGGATGGATTGCTGTCAATACCCAATCAGCTAAATGTAGAAGACCTCGCATGTCGACATTGGGACTCACTATTGCATGCCTTGAAAACCAGTGCCATTAAAGCCGAGCATCAGGGCAACCTTGGTCTTGTGAAGACGTTGTGGTTTTGTGCAGAATGAGCGGGTTAAAGAGAATGCAAGTCGAGCATTGTAGAGCATGTCAATGTAAATGGAGGAGGGGGAGCGAAACAAAGTGGTTGTTGTCAAAGGGTCAAATCCTTCTGGTATCCCCCCAACCACGTGATTTCTGGTTCAGCTGAGTTGCCATGAGACGATACATGTCATTACAATGATACTTTTGTTGAAACAAGATGTTGGTACAATTACTGATCTACCACATATGTGTGGACAGTCTACTATATTGATGCGTAAAAGAACAACTATATGGGTTTTGGTGTGGCGTGAAATGCGAAATGGATGCTTTTTGGTTGGTTGGGGGGTGTCTAAATGATTACTCGATGGGAATGCCGGCATATTCGTCAAAGCCAAGAGCAATGTTCAAGTTCTATATTATACACATTAATAAATCTCTTATCCTCATAAAACACAATAATACACATACCTGAACAGCTTGAGTAGCAGCACCCTTCAAAAGGTTGTCGATGGTGGCGGCAACAACAACACGCTTGCCATCGGGATGAACACTGAAGCCACCAATACGAACAAAGTGCTTGCCAGAATTGTCACGGACATAAGGCTCACCACTCTCCAATACCTTGACCAACTTTTCACCTTGGTAGAATTCTTGGAAGACGTTGCGAACATCATTGGCGTTCATGGACTTTCCAAGAGGCACATTGACGGTGAGTTGGATGCCTTGGAAATAGGAAGCCACGTGGGGAATAAAGTTGACAGGTGTGCCAAGTTGATGAGACACTTCACGTTCATGAATGTGGTTGGTCATGCTGTAAGGGAGCAAGTTGTCACGCAAAACTTCGGGATCGTTCTTGGGAGAAGGCTTGGTGCCGGCACCAGAGTAGCCAGAAACACCAAAGACGGTAGGAGCAGCATACTTGTCAAGGAAGGGAAGAAGAGGACGCAAAGACATTTGAGCACCAGTGGCATAGCAACCAGGGTTGGCAATACGGGTGGCACCAACCAAGTTTTTGCGGTTGAATTCTAATCGTATCGTACAAATAAGTATTCCATCCCTTTCATTTTCCTCTCCTTTAATCATTCAACATACCAGGAAGACCATAAGTCCATTCATCAGTGAAGCGATAATCAGCACCAAGATCAATCAAGACCTTTTCAGGGGAGCGGTTTTCCTTGACAGCTTGATCGACTTGCTTGACAAAGGGAGGGCAAATGCCATTGGGCAAAGCCAATACCCAGGCATCAACTTCCTTTTGAGCAGTGAGATCCTCTGGCTTGAGGTTGACATAGGAGAGGGATGACTTGGTGTAACCTTCCAGAGGCTTGCCTTCCAATTCACGCGAGCTGACATGGGTAAGGTTGAGGTTGGGGTGGTTGTTGATAATGTTGATAAGCTCACGACCTGTATAACCACGAGCACCGATCAAACCAACATTGGCAGTCTTGACGGTAGAGTAGCTACGACGTTGTTGAGCAAAGGTGGAAAAAGCACGTGCACCTGCAGGGGCCTTGGCAGCACCACCCTTGAAACGATCCAGGGTCTGCTTGACACGTTCCGAATCTTGGATACCATAAAAGAACATAGTGCTGCCATCTTGTGGGTTGCGAAGAGAGCCATCAGCACGTTCAAAATGCCATGATTGATCAAGGTTGCCATCCTCAGCCTTTGCGGACACACGCCATGTCAACACATCATGATCCTTGCGAATGGAACTCCACAAATTATCGGGCACATTGTTCAACACGGCAGTCTTGCTGGCAAGCAATTTTTCAAGCACAGCTGGCTTAGATGGATCGGCAGGATCGGTAGTAACAATAGCCATCACTTGACCAGGTTCATCCGTATACAAGGTAACGTTCTTGCGTTGCAATTCACGCAAATAGCTGGCAACGGACATTTCACCAGACTTGACAACAGGATCTTCGCTCTCCATGATACGGCGAATCTTATCAGGATCAACTTGATCGAGCTTGTTGTACTTGAACAACTTGTGGCCACGGCGAATCAAAGTACCGGCACCAGAATCAGTGAACAATTCCTTGTGCAAATGGCTAGCCGAGATAATAGCCACCGAAGATGAGCGTGGCAATCCATCCAACAATTCCTTGCATTGACGAATCTTGAGACGAGTGCCATATTTGACCCAAGGTTCCTTCATCAAGTCCTCATACTCCTCATCAAGATTGATGGTAACGATCTTCTTGCCGGTGACACCGTGGTACAAGCCATTCTTTTCATTCAAGAATACAATCTTCAAGGGTTCCAAAACAGTGGCAAGTTCGGCAGCAGCGACATCAGCATTCACGTTAAGGATTTGGCCATCAGGAGTTTCAGCAAGCGATGTCAAGATAGGCAATGCACCAGCACGAATGGATGATTCAATAGCATCCTTGTTGACACCCGTGATGTTACCAACAAAGCCATACTTGTCCTTGTCGAGATATTCAGCTGAAAATACACCGCCAGGGATAGGACGAGCACGAGTACCATGACGTTCAAGGGCATCGACAAGCTTGAGGTTTTCGGCCATGAACACCTTGCGAGCGATCTCCATGGTTGTAGCATCAGTGATACGAATGCCTTCCTCATATTGTGGTTCAACACCAGCATCCTCCAACAAACGATTCAATTGAGGTCCACCACCATGCAAGACGATGGGATATAAACCAACTCGATTCAAGAACGTCAAAGCCGATGCGAGGGTCTCCAACTCATCAGTCAATACAGCACCGCCAACCTTGATGACAGCAAACTTTTGAGACTCGACGGATGAAAAATGACGCAAATATTGTTCCACCTCCTTGCGAGAACCAATGTTGTAAAGCAACTTGACAATGGTTTCCTATCACATTGGGGGGTGGGTTAATGACCTCCTCCTCCATGTTGACAAGGTAAAGAGAGAGTGTGTGTGTATGTGTATGTATACCTTTTCAGCAGCAGCAGCATCATTGTTATAGGCATTGTATTGACGACGAGCAGCCACCATGGGACGAACAAGCGGTGTCGATCGAGCAGCCAAGCGTGCGACCATGGGGGTCGACACCTTTCGAGCAATGGACAACATGATTTTCAGCAAAGAAAGAGAGGGGTCGGAAGCCGTTACTCGAGTGTCGGTGGAACAACAAGATAAAACCTCTCATTCCACAACAGGAAATTCTGATGAGCGGGTGACTGGGCCTGACTCATTTTAGCCTTTTTTCGTACCAGGTGGCGCATAGAACCCCACAATCGATCACGTGTACATATAGAACCTTTGGAAGATGAAGAAGAACATCCTTCGCATGATAGCTAGCACCCCTTTGTTATAAAGATATACACGTATCATCAACTTCAAAAGTCTTTATTACATGTTGTGGCGGTGATAGACCGGCTTCGTACAATATTATTAGAGATGTCTGGTAGGCATCTGTTTCAGGATAAACCTTCTACCTTTGTGAGAGCGAAAAGTTGCTTTTGTATGGGTGCTCTTGGGATTCGAAGACACTCTTGAAACGCTGCACTTGTTATGCAATGTCCAACCCGCCTCGTCGTAGTTTGAATACATGATGGGTGCTTGTCAGGTTCAGGATGCTTCCTCCACAAATGTGTCGATCATGGCGTCGCTGTATTGACCATGCTTCAATATCAATATGAGAAAGAGCTGCAACCTCATGGATTTGCGTATCAATCTTGAGTCCCTTTCCTTGACAGGCTGCCTTCAATGCATGCTGCTTGTAAGTGTGGAATCGAGCGGCCATGTTGGCTGTGTCAATCACCATCAATAGCTCATTTGGCACTGGTCCCAGCTCATAGCCCCAAGGAAGTCCCAACATGGTTGACAAGCCAGTTTTGAAAAAATCATGGATATCACCCGCCAATGCTGAAGCTGTGTATCCTCAAGGTCATTTACTTGCCCCGGTGAGCGATATGGATGCTTTGATTGATGATGATTAGCATGAAACGTTCATAACGAAGTCCAAAGAGTCTAATACCTTATTGTTGCTGTCAATATCAATATCAAGAATGTCATCGTCGTTGTCCTCTTTCGTTGACATGGGTGAACAGGTAAGTAGCAGCAGCGTCAAGAAAGCGGTGGGAGTAGAGGAAGTGGTCATCTGAAGATACCCCATATAAGCTACAATGCTAGTTTTGTTCTTTCTCTATTCTCCATATACCCATGTAAATCGTTTGAACTCCCCCTCACGATCGTGATTTGTGAATTGACCTTCTCAATCTGCCTATTGGAAACCATCTTGCTGTGTGGGATTTTATATGCTTGTACCCGTGAAACATAGAAGCTGAGGTAGGTGAGTGGAGTTGAATGGGATTTCCTTTAAGTCACAACACACGCGTTCTTTATTTCTTCTCACCACCGTGGATTCACAACACGCGTTCTTGATAGTACCACACGGATTCATACCAGAGGGCAAAGTGGACATACGGATCCATATACTGCGAACTCCCTTCAATATGCCTAACAACAGGTAAGAAAAGTTGCTGCTACTTTGACACTACTGATAAGGCAATGGTCTCATGTGAATGCATTGACTGTATCATAGCAACGATATCGCAACTTCAACAACTTCAGGATCTCCCTCATATACCAATTGCCCATTATGCATGCCGCTGTGTGTTTGCCTCCTGTGTTCCGGTTGCTAATGCTATAGGCATCGGCATCGGTGCTATATGCAGTAGAACTACGTGTTCACGACCAGGTGTCTCTTCTTCGTGAAGAGTTAAGCCGACACACGGTTGCTCGAAACGCTTGTACGGTACGATGCTATGCATCCTATCCCAGGCCCGGAGAGATTTGCATGCTATGGTTATATAGCCAGGATCCTTTGATGCAGGTAAGTACATTTAAAGGGTCTCTTGGTGTTCAACAACTAACGCCAATATGTTGCTAGAGATTGCTGCTTTAGTTGTGCTGCCCAAATGCATGCCGCTGTGTGTTTGCCTCCTCCTGTGTTCCTGTGTCTTATGTCAGGGAAACTTAAGCCCCGACAAACCCAAAATCCTCCCCCCTTTTCCACTCATCTCTTTTATCTTTTCCTTTACTTGTAGTCCAAGGATCACGGACCTAAACCATCATCCACATCCAACAGCTTACTTCCTCAATAAACCACTCGCCTATAGCAGCTTATAGAAGTACAACTGCTTCCACTATAAATGACTTTGTGAATGATCAATGCTACTGGAAACTTTAAAATGACTATGATATCCACACTAATGGACATGAATACTATTTATTTACATGATTGGGCATTGGAGACAGAGCAGAGTATATCGAACGTATATCGAGTACATGACAAATTAGTACATCTAACGCAAAACGCACTTGTAGATTCTTCAAAAAAGAAGTGGGCAATGTCTTCGGCGGTTTTTTGTTCGATCAAGAAGTTGGTGAAGTTCAGGTGTAGACAAAGATGCTCGTTTCATGCGATCAGGTGTATTCAAGCCATTCGCTTTGTTCTCCTTGATCTTGACAACTAGATGGTTCAATCGAAGCAAGGTGTTCAACGTGTTTTTGGATAAGAGTCCAGAAATTGTATCCAATGAATCCGGTACTTGAAGATGTGCAATCTCGGTCATTGTATACATCGCCTCATGCTTCAATTCCATCAAATAAAATCGGATATTAAATCCTAGACATACACACATCATCTCCATGTTAATACCTGTTTTGAGAATAAGAATATATGCATACACATACCATGGATCTGAAAAGAAATGGGCACTGATGTCGTACCAGAGTCAATCGTGCTTTTTCCAAACATCGCCAATCGCAACAAATCCCGACAAAGAGCGTCCGTGTTCCTGTTTGGTTCCGCAACCTTGGCTTCTCCATGTCCAATTGTGTCGTCATATCGTGATTGTGAAAACAAAGAAATAACCGCATCCGGTCTACTGTGTGACATCTTACGTCGTCCTTCAGGTGTAATCGTATTCACCCAGCGTAACATCATGTCTTTTTCCGGATCGGCAAGAACAGCAGTAAGAAGAGGATCGTAAAAGCAATTCCAAAGCTCGGTTTCGCTTATGCACGTAGCATTGGCTATTGGCATGTTAGGGATCTTGGATAGGCTAAAGAGCATATGATACAAGTTAATGAATGACCTCTGAAAAGTGTTACAATAGATAACGGTTCATACTACTCACAGCATGGCAAGGCCGAATATCACACGTGACACATTGTATGCTTCATTGCTGGCAATTGCAAGTAGCTTTGACATGACTGTAAGGCGAGATGAGCGTTTCTCTGGTTCAGGGTGTGCTAATTCATCGAGTATATTGCTGATGTCCACAAAGGCCTTATCAGGGAACTTGAGGTCATGGTCGAGGGCCAAGGCACGTGATTTGTAGTACATGCTGTCAAGCGATCCCTCACCAAAAACATCAACCATCATCTTGCTGTATTGACCCTGCTTTAAGATAAGCACGTGCGATAAAGCTGCGATCTCGTGTGTCTGTGATTCAATCTGAAGACCTTTGCCGCTGCATGCTGCTTGTAATGCATTTTGCTTATAGGTATGGAAACGAGCCGTCATATTGGTTGTGCCGATCATGAACGATTCATCAGGAACTGGTCCCAACTCGAAACCAGCAGGAAGGCGCAAGGTGGTAGGGGCGGCATCGCTGAAAAAGTCGTCTATCTCATCACCAAGCGCTAGTGGTTGTGGTTGCTCAAGATCTCTGGGCCTTCTTGGGGATAGATACGGATTCTTTGATAAGGATTAATATGAATTCATCAAAACGAAAATCATAAAGTAGCTAAATACCTTATTGGTGTTAACATCAATATCAATATCAATGTCCTCGCCATCCTCGTCATCGTCTTGTGTTGAAACGGATGACCCTGATGGGGTAGCAATGGGAGCAGCAACGACAGGGGTAGCAAAAGGACCAGTAGCAGAGGAAGATGCCATCTGAGGATATCACGTGTTAGTTATAATGCTCTCCTTCTGTATTTCCCTTGTACATACAGATGCAAGTCGTTTTGGTGATGGCTGTTGCTCAACATGCTCTGAACCAACCCTTTTCAACTGATCATGCTTGGCCTAAGGAGAAATGTTAATGCATAGCTATATACAAAAGGCGTGTGCTTCGTACCTTCTCTTGTGTAGCTACTTTGTCGTATATGAATAACCTGAAATTATGCACAGCACCGTTTTCCGCTCGACTAGATTCCTTGTTACTCCAAAACGCGTCAATATCCTCATTGCGTAGCAGCTTTTCAATAGCGTAGTTAGATATACCAAACATCATCAATACAGACAATTGTATACCTGAAAGTTGTTGCTGGTTGCTTTTTCCAACCAATTCTTCCATTTGGAGGCCTTGCTTGCAGTTCTACGCGCTTCGCCAACTGCTGCCTTGAACTCATTTTCGCCGTCAATGCGGTTGGTGAACTTGAAATGCTTATAGAAGTTGATAATCGAGAAATGTTTGCGGTTGTGATTGCTTCTAAGGTAGGTCAGACTTGCTTTTTCAGTGGACATGGTTGAAGAGAAGGAGTGGAGAGAAAGGCGGAGTGGATGGCATGGGTTTTTACTGTGATAGCAATCAGCCCCAGCGTGCATTTGAGTATGAGTGGACAGTGGGTATCTCACATTTGACATGATGGGTTGCCTGTATAGCCATATGGAGATATGTGTGGTATGGATATGGATATGGATTTATTTTAGTATATTATACCACCAGACCTGACCTAGTAAGCTTAATTTGATGGAAGGAAAAGCTGCAATATGAAATACCATTCATTGACTCCTTTGTCGTATCGTTTTATATTACATCCTTAAGTAATCAATGGATCAATGAAGGGTCACGGTACACTTAATAAACCTCAAGTAGCTGGTAATTTATTCATAAGGCGTGGCGTATTCAAATGGATCAAACTACGTGTGAGCCGCAAAGACAGCTGTAGCTAGGTGATTTCTTCTACCCGGTTTCTCAGGTCCCTCGACATCGCTTTTGTTTCAAGCTACTACAAAAACCCAGATACAACGGCAGACCAAGCTTCTTGCAATGAGCTCCACCGACAATTCCAAGGCAACCAGCCTTCCCGAAAAGCTTGTTGGAAAAAAGAGGCTTCGAACAGCACGTGCTTGGTATGATATCACTCTATCTATTTTGTACTTTAGCAACACACACATGCGCCCCACCTAACTCATGCGATCGACCTTGTTAGTGATCTGTGCAAACGAAAAAAGATCAAGTGCCACTTCATTCCTGGCCAATCATGTTTCAACTGCCAAGGATACAACGTTCCATGCGTATTCACTGAAGGGTAAGGATAGAATGGCTGCTCTTGTATTGTGGTAGAAGCTCACTAAGAATCATAGACCGCCTCAAAAGCGAGGAGTACCGAAAGGGTAAGACACCCTCCTATGCGCAGATCCTGTGTCACCCCACAACAACATTATTCATCAACCTAATGTTTAGTTATGCAGAGAAACTCGAACAACAAATCGCTACATTGCAACAAAAGATCCACGCCTTATCTGGATCCAACGACATTGATCGATTATTGGACCAATATCAGCAGCAGCCAAGGAAACGAGTAGTGGATGATCATGGCAACGGACATGGCAACAACGATGGCGATGATGATGATAAGAGTCGACCCGCAAAGCTTTCGGATTCGTTTGTTGAAGAGTTGGATGCACTACATTCTCGACAATATCCACCAGGTGTCCGTTATGACAGCGTCAAATATCTCGGTGATCTTGACAACTTTTTGTTCTTTTCAAACAAGCTGCGGCTACACGACAATAACAAGGGATTGAAGTGGAAAGGCCATTATCTACGTAGAGTGGGAAATGACATTGGTAAGGGAGAAAAGGACATGATCAAAAGAGAGATGGGGCTCTTACATCCTTCTTTGTGCTAGTGCTTGTGGAAGACAATTCAAATATCGATTCTACGGTGGAAGATAAGGTGCCTCGTATCAATTGGAAACCAATGTCCATCTCCCGTTTACCAAGGAGCATCCATCATTATGTCCTTACGGCAACAGGGCTTGATCAATATACCAGTGCACGGCTTTTGAAAATGTAAAGTATGATGTGCTATGCAACGTTGTTGCCATGGTAACTAAACGTTTTTATCTTTTAGCTACTTTGCCAATGTGCATCCAATCCTGCCTGTGATTGACAAGGGGGAATTTCTTTTACAATATCGCGATAAGATTGCCAGCTATCCTCAAGTGTGTCTTCTTTTATCCATGTTTGGAGCTGCTGCACGTTTTGCTGAATGTGAAAGTTTGGATGAGGAACGACGACGGCGCGTACCACCTGATGCACGATGGGATATGCCAGTGGGATGGAGTGATCACTTTTTCGAAAAGGCATTAAAGATCATCTCGGATGGTATCAATCAACCCACGTTGGGCAAGATACAAGCCTTGGTGTTGATCCAGAATCAAAGAGCCAATGTGGATTCCGAGTCATCCGCCATTTGGCTTATGGGAGGATTTGTAAGTTATTCACGGAGGGATAAGATGATGTTGTCGACATGCATTAACCAACAATGGATCTTTCATTAGGCAGTGCGCCTGGTAAGCACGTATTATCGCTACGCTTGAATGAGAGCTAATCAAATGAATCAAGGCTCAAGGATTAGGATTACATCGAAATTGTGAGCATTGGCCTATCCCCGACAATGACAAGCAATCGAGGTATAGAACATGGTGTAAGTCCTATTATCGAATCCTATAACGTGGTATGCTGACGTAATAATGATATTCATGCAGGGGCACTCTATGTATGTGATCGATTTCAAGCTGCCTTGCATGGTCGACCATTGACGATTGTGGATGAGGTACGTGGGTGGATGTAACAACAATAGCAACGGGTTTATTGAGAAGGCATGTTATTTAGGATAATGATGTACCCTATCCCGAGGTCAATGTCAGCTGGAAGGAGGTATTGGATGAACCGGACAGCGATGACAATGATGAATGGCCTGGTCCTCGATTTCCTTCAGCGACGTATCGACCTGCATCCATAGAGGGGAGCGTACGTTTCAATATCATCTTCCTACAACTTGTCAAGTTATCAGAAATCTTGGGTCGAATATGGCGTGGATTGCACACCTCCAAAGCAAAGCAGCAAAGTTACATGCATGGCAGTGATAGCATTGTGAGACGACTTGATCAAGAATTAACTGAATGGCGCTTCTCATTCAGCCACGCTATCAAGGAAGAATCCAACAACTTTGCCGATTTTAATGAAAGCAATGGCTATTTTGCTGGCGTAATTGGTAAGTTAGCTGATGACACCATGCGCATATCAAATCTTGGCTGGACTCATCGTATTGCCAATAGGATCAACGTTGATGTTTTATTTTACGGCGCTTATCCTCTTACATCGACCTTTTATCAAGGCGAATCCCACTGATCAATCATCATTTTGGATTTGTACAAGTGCAGCAACACGTGGCATTCGCATGGCATCATTGCTTACAGCACACGATTTCCTTTTGACACCTTACTCCTTCAGCACATACCCTATTTTACAATGCAGCCTTATCCTGATGTACAACACAAAGAACAGCGATCCACAAATAGCACAAGCAGCCAAAGAGGATTTACAACGAGGCATCGATCTCATTGACCGAATACATGAATTATCCATCACGACACGCAAACTCAGGGTATTGCTGCACAACATCATCGACAATCGAAATATCGATCATCACTTCATGGACGACCATCATTACAACCCTCCTTATCCACATGTCATTCCACCTGTATCCCACAACGATCCCATCTCATCTACACAACAAGCATCAATACCATCATCATCACAATTACCACCTGCAACACAGGATGTTGCATCCATCATTGATACATTCTTACTACAACAAGACATGACTTTTGGTGACACCATACCAGGTACGAGAAATTAGGTAACAATCATACCACATGTACTGAATCTTTATATATGCATGTATAGCACCAAGCATTACGAATCCGGAAGAAGCATTTACACTGCAACAATTTAATTTCCTGGCATCACAAGCTCAAGATTTACCTGCATTACCCAACTTTAGAAACGAACCCAGTAATCCGTTTTGGGATATACCATCTTCCATTGATTGGGGCGAATGGGCTGAATGGCATCATTATCACGCACAAAACTTGTCAGCATGGGATCAAACATCATGATGATATACATAGTAAATGAAGCTTTTTTTTTCCTCGTCGAACTCGTAAAGCATTATTAATATAAATCAAATGGAGGATGAGAAGAGGAAAAGGTATATATCAGATCTAGCGAGCGTGGGATGGGATGGGATGGGATGATCGACAAATGAGGGCGTAAATAGGTGATAAGAGAGAAAGAGAGAGAGGGAGATAATATGTATACTATAAGTAAAAATGGTGGTTCTACTTTTTTTTCTTCTATGGATTGTGTATTGTTTAACTCCACACGTCTTCTTGGTAACGACCGGTGCTACGCAAGTTCTTTACGAAGTCATGTGCCTTGTCATCCGAAAGTCCTCCAAATTCGATACCAAAGTTGACAAACGTTTGTTGGACATCACGTGCCATGTTCTTTGCATCACCGCATACGTAAATGTATGCACCTCGTTGCAACAATCCCCAAACCTCTTCACCATTCTCCTGAAGTCGATGTTGAACGTACACCTTTTGTGCTGTTTCACGTGAGAAAGCAGTGATGATACGAGATGATTCGCCAAGTGTATCGAACAAAGCTGGCCATTCATCCTTGTACAAAAAGTCTTGTTCGGAATTGCGACAGCCAAAGAACAATAAAGTAGGACCCACAGGCTTGCCTTCACTCTTTTGCAAAGCACGTTCACGCACAAAGCCACGGAAAGGAGCAACACCGGTACCAGGACCCACCATGATAACAGGCACAGTTGGGTTACGAGGAAGCTTGAATTGTGATCGACGCACGTGCACAGGTAACTTTGTGCCATGTAAAGCATTACGAGGGCCCGATAAATCATAGGTTGGCAAATCAGCGTCAATGGATTGTTGCTTGGAGGCAGTGTGGATACGCCACAAGTAGTTGGTGTTGACGCCATAAACGGTACGTTGAGGTGTAGGATCAGGTTGGTAGCTGAGTGTAACAGCAGTAACAGCGATCTTCTTTGGGCTCTCCTTGGCAGAGGATGAGATGGAGTAGTAACGAGGTTGAAGACGTGAAATGCTTTCCACCACCAAATCAAATGGCACAGAAGAGAAAAAGCCGGGCTTCACATCATTGCCTGCCACAATCTCCAATACCTCACCCAAGTTGCGTACAGCTTCGCCCACCGTCAAACGATACTCATCCTTATCCTTAGCCAATTGACGTAAGCGTTCCTTTGATTCTTCAGTGGGTGCATATTCCACAAATGCCATCAATGATTGACGAGACACAGCAGCACAGATATCCAAGTAGTGGCGGAAAATGGCACGATAAGTAGCAGGGCAAGGGAATGGATACTTTTTGGATGCAGCAGGATCAATAGCCTTGACATTAATAGCCGTGTCGAGTTTATCAGCGAGACCAAGAATGGATGCGAGACGAGCGACTTCGTTTTCACTGTTGGTGGGCCAAATAGCAATGTGATCACCGGTTTGATAAGAGAGATTGCTGTCAGAGACATCGATTTCCATATGCAAACAATGACGATCGGTGCTGGTGAACAAATCTTGACTGCTGGCGATGGGTGCATTGAAAGGACGTTTGGCATCATACACGATACGTCTAGGGGGATAAAGCATATGAGAACAATGAAATACCACCTCCTCCCATCTCCTTGAATACTTACGCTCCCTCTTTTGGTTTCTCAGCCAATTCACCCAAATAGACATCATCCATATTCACGTCCACAAGTTCCTCAACAGAATAGGTTGCTTGACGAGGACCCGAATGAGCATTACTTTCATCCACACCAAGAGCTTCACAAAAGGCGGGCCACATGTTTTCTTGCCAAGCCAAAAAGTCTTCTTCGAGAGAACCATCATCATCACCTTCACCACGTGGATGGATACGATGAGCTCCAAGGACCTCCAAACGCTTATCGACATTGCGTGCAACGGCATTGTAGTGTTCATACGTCTTGTTGCCTAGGCCAAAGACCAAGTATCTCAAGTTCTGGAGAGGCTTGTCGCCATCGGCTTCCGAGAATTGAGGCTCCTCCTCCGACAAGACATCCCAAAAGTCGACAGCGTTATCGGTAGGTTCACCTTCACCATAGGTAGCCATCACAAAGAACACCAAGCAATCTTCAGGAACAGTGTCGAGATAACTCAAGTCGTACAATTCCAAATCAGCCGTCATACAATTGACACCATATTTCTGAGAGCATTCTTTGGCAAGACGTGATGCATAGTCTTCAGCTGTACCCGTTTGAGAACCATAGAAAAAGATCACCTTACGACCCTATATACACACACAGGATCAATCCTCTTGTTCCTTCCTCCTTCTCCTTCTCTTTTGTTGCTTGGTATTTACCTGTTCTTGCATAATCTTTACAAAGTTACGTTCTCGTTTGGGTGGTGCAGGAGTGGCGTGACCATTGGTCTTTGCATCGGAAGCAGCACTTGAACCAAAGAGGCGTTCGGCAATCTGGCGTCTTGCAAACCACGCGATGGTGCCGAGACCGATGGTGCCGAGAAAGACGATATCCAAAGTATCCAATGCTGGTGGCGATTGAGCCATGAGGGGGGGAATAGAGAGAAAGAAAAGGCGGGTTAAAAGAAAGAAGAAAGGGTCTATCCCAACAGGGGTTGTAAAATATATGGCACTTTCGGCCACCGCATCCGCTTTTCATGTGTGTGTGCACCCACCACAACCACCACCACACCACTCTTTTTTGATCTGATTAGATTCCATGACCCATATTTAACTACGTGCACCCATACACACACACACGCACACACACCTCCTCCTCTTCTTCTTTTCTTTCTTTTGTATACATTTATAATTATCCATGTTACTCGTATTACAATTTGACCAATAAACCAAAAGACATCGACGTGTGACATTGATGATACTTTTGGCACACACAATGAAATGTCAATTGCTATAGGAGTGGGTATAATTCACAACAACCCTGCCTCTCCTTTCACTTTTCAATGCTAATCCTCAGGATTATCAATGTACATGACAATATCCCAAAATTGTCATTCATGTCACACTTGCCCATTTTCGGATATTCCATATGCCAGATTGATAGACGATCGATGTAAACTACACACATTTTCAAGTTGACAAGGTTGCTCCTCCTCCCTGCTGCTGGTGATGATGCCAACAACAACACATGATCAACCACTTGCCTTACATGGTATAATATCAGTGGATGGGACAATCACAACAAATCTGCAATGTGCTGGTTTCTTGTGGATGACCCACACATCACCTTAAAAACCCACAAACCAACCAGAGAAAAAAAACAACACACGAATGATCCGAATGAATCAAGAAACTGCAAGGGAGAAACACACGCACGAATGACAGGAGAAGGTGCGTCCGTCAGGGACTGAATAGATCTCATTGGTGATCCCGATGCCGTTATGTGTGGTGTAGCTGTGAGGTGGCTTTGACGTAATCGCCGCTCTAAAAATTTTTACGTTGCTCACAAAAGAGGAGTTGGACGGCAGGCCATAGTCGCTTCTTTCTCTTTTTCACTTTACTTCATTGTAAGTGTCGTGTTTTGTATTATCTTTTTGTTAAAAGCATCAAAGCTCATAAAAGCGTAACTTTTAGAAAAATGTCAGAAGAACACGATACCTTCGAGTCTGCCGATGCTGGTGCCTCCAAGACCTTCCCTATGCAGTGCTCTGCTCTCCGCAAGAACGGCCACGTCGTCATCAAGGGTCGTCCCTGCAAGATCGTTGATATGTCTACCTCCAAGACTGGCAAGCACGGTCACGCTAAGGTTAACTTGGTCGCTATTGACATTTTCACTGGAAAGTAAGTTATCATCGGTAGATTGGATTTCACATGAATGTATAAATGCTGATTCTTTTTTTTTGTGTTTAAAAGGAAGTACGAAGATGTCTCTCCCTCCACTCACAACATGGATGTCCCCAACATCAAGCGTAGTGAATACCAATTGATCAACATTGAGGATGGTTTCCTTTCCTTGATGCTTGAAAGCGGTGACACCAAGGAGGATGTCAAGCTTCCCGAGGGTGAACTTGGTGAACAAATTCAAGCCGACTTTGATGAAGGCAAGGATTTGATTGTTGGCATTGTCGCCGCTATGGGTGAGGAGCACTGTCTTTCTGGTATGTACATTTTACTTTTTGTTTGTTGTGTGCCACTTGCAGGTTTCACTTACACATCTTTTTCCTTTTTAAACAGTCAAGGAAGCTCCCAAATAAGTTTGATCGTGCGCATGCTTCATCTCGACATTTGTCTTTTCAAAATAAAACCGCATTGGAAACACTCTTAGGGTTTAAATGTTACGTACACATTGCTTTCGTCGGATCCTTTTTGTTGTTGGAATAATCAAGTGTGTAGTTCATCTTATTAGAAAAGAAAAGGTTTTGGATGAGGGTTGATTTGACTATGGTACAAAAAATCAAAAACTAAAAAGGAGAGTAGATGTGGGGTTGTGTGTAGATATTCAAAATGGGTAACTAGCAAGATTAGGTTATAAAAGTGTGTGTGTATATATATGGCTCAATAGATCAACTATGCCATAGTGGTCTTGCTGCTATTCGTAGATGTTTGACTAGCTGCTGGTGCAATAAGTGAAGGAGAGACAAATGACAAGCGTCGTCGTTGATGGTTTTGCAGTACTGCAGCTGATTTCCGCCGAGCTACAAGAGTATGAAAAACATTGGCGAGCGGCGTAGAATGGCTGTTATTATTGTCGGAAAAGGAACTAAATGACGGGGAAGGAGGTGGCTGATGTGTTGCTGTAATTGGTGATGTTGGTGATACTTTGGCGTCGGACGATGACGATGATGAAGGTGAAGGTGATATAATGACGTTGGTTGTTGGGGTGTCATTATGTAACTTTAAGCGTTCAAGCCATTTATCGAGCGTATTGTGTTGATGGTTATTTGACAAGTAGGTGATCCAGTCATCTTTGGCTTGCACTGATTCTGCCACCAGGACAAGATCAGGCAGGTCAGCTTGTCGTGATAATAGTTGGAATGTTCTTGTTGTAGGAAGCTTGTTGAATACGAGTCGTCGTTGTGAAGGAGAGTTGGCGACGATTTGGTAACGGGTCACATCAATGATACCACAGGGTGTTTGATTCAAGGGATTCTATATCACATTCATTATTATTAATTGATCATTCTTTGATACATGTAATACACACACACACATACCTCGTCATTGTCATAGTAATAAAGCTGCTGTCCATCAAGGATGCAGTAAAAACGTTGCGGCGTTCGACGCCACAACAATTGCTTTCGCAACTTTGATACCAAAAGCCAGCCTTGGTAGTCTTGCGATAGCGTTGAAGTAGAATAATTATGTGGCATGCCTCTATCGAAGAAGAAAGGGGAAAAAACAGCAGCGCGGGAAGGTTGAGAGGTTCTTTTAAAGTGAGCTCAGGTGTTACACTGCATGCCGTGCCAAACTATCAAATTGAATGCATATCATTTGTAGCGGCGGTTAACAATGCGCGCGAAAAGGCAACGTGGTATTAATCCCCTCTTCTCCTTTCACCCCCAGATTTTCTCTCCTAAACGTAATCACTCAGCCGATCCCAACTACACTTTGCGTGCTGACATTCCATCTCACTCACAACGCCGATTTTTGGGTACACTTCCGTTTCTTTTCCGTCCCACCTCACTTTTTGTTCTCGCGCGAGAGAGTTTCCATGTCACACAAACACAAAAGCACCGCGTGGCATACAATTAATAAAACAGTACAATGAAGGGGGATCGTCCATACGCACACACACGTCACAACATAGGCTAACTTTTGGCTAATGAATCACTAATCGAAAGTTGATGCCGATGTCTTGAAGAAATAGGCGGTGATGAAGGCTCAGGGGTATCGGGTTCAGTGTCCCTTAAAGAAGACGTTGTACGAGTTGACCCTTGTCGTTGATGCAATGGTCTTTGTAACGCATTCAATGAATCCTTTCGTGCAAGTATCCTCTTTCCTCGTGAATCAGATCGTTCCACTGTCACTGGTAATGATGTTGATGGCTTTGTCGAATCGGTGGAGATGTTGGATTGTTGCCGTTGTTGTTGCCAAGCCATATCGTTATTATCCACAGCTGTCTTTTCATCCTTGTTGTCATTCACTCGAGCAAAGAGCCTCTCATGATTGAAGATAAGATCGGGTAACACCTTGTCAGAGCACCATTCACCAGGAACTTCAGCTTGATTATGATCATGAAAAATAGCCGGTGTAAAGATAACTTCCAAATTTTGCATGCTCATCTTGTTCATCCTCGCCTTGCTATTGACTCTACATTGAGCAAAATAAAAAGGGTCAGAATTGTCCACTATGGATTTGATCACCATGTAATACTTACTTTGCTAGATGCTCGACGACGGCTTTTAGCGTATATCGATGTGGATCAGATAGCTGTTGTAACCGAGATTCGAGTTCTCGTAATCGGGTTGCATCATCTTTGGCTGCATGCAATCATTTGAGTTTGTGTTTTCACGTTGTCTCCGTTTCCTCATGAAAACTTACCAGAATACTCAGCACGAAACCGCATCTGCAAGGGGAAGAGTGGCACCTCAAGCTCACGGAGATAAATTTTGAGCACTGATGCAATGGTGAATATGTCAAATGATTGAATCTGTGCCTTGTTCTCGTCTCGTTCAAATTCAAGCTTGAGCTGCTCAATGCTGCTTTGTCTCCCAGATACTCGGTAAAGTCCCTCTTTTTCCAATCCTCCCATCTCTTCAATGGCTTGAATGCATCGTTCCACCAAAACAGGCACCCTGCGTGTAGTATGAAGCTTGGCATATACATCCAGTGCAACCCCAAACTGCATATCTATCCTTATCCTATAAGTAACCCATCTTCTCTTTCAAGACCTTCCATCCATAGATGTATATACCTTTTAAGCGCCCATGGTAATGGTTATCATACATGATCGGCTCGGGTGTATCAAACTTGAGCTTGGAGTATTCCCTCTTGAAAAATTCCATATCCTTCTTCCCATCCATCTCAGCGGCTGTTTGAAACATGGCCTTGACAAGCTATACTTGCAAGTTACAACAATTAGGACCGCATGCTAGGAGTAGCCATCCACCGTTCGATAACCTACTGATGATTCATTGGCTTGTATTCCTTGTTCAACCGTAAGAATATTGTAAAGTGCCGATTTGCATATTTCCGACTTATCCAGGAACAAGACCTCTACATGCTAAAGCATTATGGATGAGCCAATAATATCCACAAGACTTAGCAGCAAGGCGTGCATATACCTTTACAGCATGATTGGCCGTATCCACTTGCTTCTTCCGAAGACGCTCCAAATCCGCCACACTTCTCCGATACTCGCGATCTATATACATAGCACACAAAATCAATACTCCTCCCCTTGAAGCAACACCATATACCACCCATTACCTGCATCCAACATGTCACGCTTAAGCCTCGATGCCTTCGTTCCATAATCATGTGTTGAGCTCATGACATTGGCAAGTTGTGTTTTGAGAGCCATGAATCCTGCCATGGTCCGCTTGTTGTGTGGCACATCCGATCCACCACCACTGGAATGGTCGCTATCCTCCTGTTGTTGCTGTTGCAATGCTTGTTGTTCGGCCTGTTGATGTTCATCATGCTGAGCAGCATCAAGCTCGGTACATTTGTTGAGGTATTGTCTTTGACGCTATACAAATTTGACCCTGTTGGAAATCCTATCACCAATCACCCCATCCTTATCCATTGTACCTTTGAGAAATCACCCGTCCTTGCTGCCATATACTTTGCATTCTTATCCACCATGATGCTCTTGATCTTTTTGCGTCGTTGTTCTTGATAATCCTAATGTATCATCATCACACCACACAATCAATGATGCGTTCATTATCATTCGCATGATTCCTTCCTCATCCACCCATTCTTACCCTTAACGTGTTGAGCGACTGTAACTGAAGTTTCATAGCCTTCAAGAGTTCACGACGTCCCGCCACAGTCCGATTAAGCGAGATCTCATATTGAGCCACAGCAGCCTCGTACATGGTTTGCTCATTGAAGAAAGGAGTGCGTGGTAGGCGTTCAATTTTGTCCAGTGCGTTTGCGTAAGCATCCTCTGCTGCAATTCTATAGTGGTTCGATGCATAAGCGTTCCCAAAAGGGGTTGTTTCAAGAAGTCTCCGCAGCTTCATACCGTTGACGTAAAACGCTAATCAAGTGGTCCAGGTCCTGAATGCTCCATTTCAGCAAGTTGTTGATATACTCGACTTGAGCGTTGAGATTGGGTAACTGAGAAGAAACAAAGAGCGAGAATAAAGAAAAAAAAGGAGCTGTGTTATTTGTGTGCGGACGTGTTTATCGCTATGGATGGGTCTGGGTGGTTACCTCCTCCTCCTGTGGATGATGGTGATATTGTTGGGTGAAGCTTTTCCCTCTCGGTCTGGCCATATTATTATGATACGAGGATGAGAAACATACACACACGTATACGTGTTAAGGGAGAAAGAGAGAAAAAAAGGAACAACGGCTTTGCATAGTCGCGCCCTTTGCATGTCCAAAAATGAAACGAAAGCTATTTCAGGCTAGACCAACTAGGTCGTTGATTATTGTTCTGTGGAATGGAAAGATCAAAAGGGTCATTCATGGCTGAGCCCATTGTTTCTTTTTTCAAAGGAGTAAACCTCCCTCCTCTTTTTGTATTCATTCATCAATAGAAAAGATCCCCCTTCCTCTTTAAAGGTTATGCTAGTATTCTATGAGTATATTTGTTCATGTCTTTCGACCGCTGTTGATAAAGTGTGATCGACATACATAATCATTCCATTATTGACATACTACTACTACTTAATTAAAGGTAATTGTATTGTGATCCGGAAGCCGAAGCTTATATATACCCGATATAGGCGTTGTTCTTATAGGCCAACGGCGTGCCCAGGTCATATACAAAAAAAAAAGAACTTCTATTCACCTCCTCCATGAAATCGTCAAGGATGATGATTGGACCCTTTTGTTGCTATTGATTGCTAACCCCCGCGATTTGCATTCTGCTTCTTGTGTGCAGATAAATGCCGACGGTGGGTCAATGATGGTGACCACCCCCCTCGAACGTATCAAAGCCGACATTGTCTACCATTTTTCCTTTTGTGATACAAAAGGTTCACACGTACATGTTTATAAAAAGAAGATGTTGTCACAGGTAGGCTATGCAATGATTTCACGCGTCGCCAAGCATACGTTTCAAAGATAGAGCGAGCTTGCACCCCATAGGTTAGAGCTAGTATACGCACGTAGAATAGACCTTTGTTATCATCCAGAGCCTTGTATTGCTCCCCATACTGGTTGAGTTATTGACCTTATTATTGTCGTGATACGCTCTATTAGACCTTTACAACTTCCTCTCAATTTGTTTTGCATAACCCAAAATGAACGCGAATGCTTTTAATCGATAACGGCTTCTCACCACCTTGTATAGCTGCCTGCGAGGGTATGGATTTTAACCCCAATTGATGGAAGCAATGACTTAGGCCTGGTTCAATACGATTATTAGGACGAACTCGATAGTGGTGCCTTTGGCAATGGACGCCGTGTATTACTCCGCTGACAACAACAACAGGCAATCTATAATAGGATGGAACCTTTCCGAGCAATGAGTAGGTCAAAAAGCGTACGACTATAAAACCATTTCTGTAACTGCAATTGAAGCAGGTGGTAAAAGAAAGTCAATGTTTATTATAAAACTAAAGAGAGATGGGAACTAACAGCAGCTAGAACCTCTTCTTCGTTGTCACGTGGTTGATTCTTTAAGGGATTCATGGTCGCCATATATGAGCAGTATGCGGCAAACAACATGAGATAGATCCAATACACAAATTACTTAAAGACATCTTTATTTACAGCTTTACAATGTACATTATCCCAAGTAGTGAAGTCTTGTTCTTGTTTGCTTGCAGCGCCAAAGGACCCAGAAAGCCATCCTTGCCGTTTGCTTTGTTGAAGTCTTGGAAGTCCGAACCCGAAAGTTTCTTTTTGCCTTTATTAACGATGGTGACAAGGGGAGTGATCTTCATTGTCAAACCACGTTTACCCCCAAGCACACCATGTAGTTCACCTGTTACAGAACATAATGATAAGTTTGGATTTGGAAAATAATAGTGAGCAAAAAGACATACCGATCAGTTGATGGTCCGGGCTATTGGTATCACTAGGAGCCACACCAAGTACTGCTATAAGTAGTTGTTTAGTAAACGTGGGGTGAAATAGAATGCAATAAACATGAATGGAGTGTATTTACCTTGGATATTGCTGTTGAAGTTGGTGAATGCCACCGTATCGCAGATAAAGCTGCTGCTGCTTGCTGCACATGATGACGATCGTCTAAGATACTTATCAATGCCATGAGCAAGTTGAGAAACTTGCTCAGAGGACCAGTGACCAGACGTTTTGGCCACCGAAAAATGAAGCTTTTCGGCAGCAACAGGCCTTGCTAGCTTTCCAATCGAGCTCTTGATAGCTGCCAATTTGGACTTCACGAGTGGTCCTATGATGGTGATGGTGACATAGTTCACCGGAGATGGTCCCATCACAACTAGCTACATAAGAAAATGCTTTTTAGAAGCTGATTCCCAATACTTCCTTTTGCTTGTGACCATATTTACCAATTGCTGCATCACCCTCAAGCAGCCGTTCCACCTTTTGAATGGGGCCATCCACCTTGATTGCCTTGTCATTCACCAACTCCACGTTCACACCTGTGGCATTGGCCTTGAGTTTTTCCATTATGGTGCTGTCAGCATCTAACATGGAAGCAAATCAAAAGTAAATATGATAAAGTCTATACATATTAGTATTCCTTTCAAATGACATACCGAAAAGCTCCACAAGGTCTGGTTGTTCATCCTTCCACTTGAACACCTCCTTAGATGGTGGTCCACCCAAGGTGCTCCAACCTTGGAACATGTCCCAAGGGCTTTCATCTTCATCATCTTCATCATCGTTGTCATCACCATCGTCACCAGAAGCGGAAGTGGTTGATGCGTCTTCATTGTGGCGAACACGCTTCGCAGGCTGGGAGGTTGACGAAGAGGACCCCAAGCTGGAAGTAACCAAACCACCAAGCGAAGAATTTCCTGCTTGCAGAAAACGTCCATAACCATCATTCGAGCGGGTGACTATACCAAAAAACACACACGTTAATATACAATACGTATCAAGAGGAAGATAAGCTATATATATATACATCACAGAGAGTCCATCAGGGAGTAGGAGTAAATGTCACAATGAACACCACAATCAATAAAGCAATCATGAAGAACTACATGGATGATGATGACAAAGGTCAATGCATGAACTACTTCTGACCCATTCAAATCACTGAACAGCTCTCCTTGGCACTTACCAAATAGCAGGCTTTTGATGAATGTGCGATAGACAAAAGAGGTGTGCGATAATGTTGGTGGCAACAGTCTTGCTTTTACGTAGTTGGGCGTGGGTATTGTTGTCGATGCATGAAAAAGAGGTTGTGATGGATCGAGCTGATTAATCAAGCATCTTGGGATGCTGCCAGGTCGAAGGATGATGGAGCTGATACGTCAATAGCTGATAAATGCTTGATATTTGTACGTTGTCAGTGCAAAGAAAAGAGGCTACGATGGATTGAGCTGATTAATCAAACATCTTGGAATACTGTAAGGTCGAAGAATGATGGCGTTGATGCGTCAATAACTGATAAATGCATGATCATTGTATGTTGTCGATGCATGAAAATAGGCCATGAGGGATTGAGTTGATTAATCAAGCATCTTGGAAGACTGCCAGGCCGAAGAATGATGGAGCTGATACGTCAATAGCTGATCATTGTATGTTGTCAATGCAAGAAAAAGCGGTCATGATGCATCAAGTTAATTAATCAAGCATCTCGGGATACCACTTGGTCGAAGGGTGATGGTGCTGATACGTCAACGGTGATAAAACGCGTGATAATTGTATATTGTCGATGCAAGAAAAAGAAGCCGTGATGGATCGAGCTGATTAATCAAGCATCTTGGAATGCTGCCAGGTCGGTGAAGATGATGGTGTTGATACGTCAATACTGATGAATCCATCCAACGCCGGTTCTTCGGTCACTCTCACTTAAGAAGACTTTGTGTACGTGGCATATACCGAGAGATAATCACATGACAGGTCTCATCCTCCTCTTCAGCTACACACGAGCGTTTAAGTCGTTGGTATCCGTTTGTGGCAGGAAGTCGTACTTACCAATCACGCCATAACTCATCCATGAACACCAGGGTCTTGGTCTCCACCAACCAGGATAACTTGGTCATGTTGCTATGGTGTTGCTGTCATCTAACGTACAAGCAAAAATGCACAGAGTCAGATATGGGTCGTCTGTATTCACCCTGCCGTCACCTTGAATCGCCTACCTGAAAGCTGTTCAATATCACCCTTGAGTATTCCACACATTGTGGCAAGCTGATCCATGCTGCGTCGTCTTCCATTGTGGTCTGTGGATTGTTGATTCCATATGTCCTTGTCGTCAATGCTATCCCGTGCAAGCCAAATGAGCTTTGTGCCTTGATCACGAGTCATCATAGATAGTAGCTAAGACGTGCATTGCTTAGTGATACATAAACATAGGTTGACATTGTTAGATTCTACTCACTTTGTATGTGTGTGTCAAAGGGTACGCGTGTGCGTGTGTGTGGCGGATGTGGAAGAGAGCAGAGAGATCTGAGTATTGCCACATAAACACAGTCGTGTTTACATGAATAGCAGAAGATCCCTATTACGTCGCTTGATATGATTTACTTACACATACAAAGAGGATACACTATTCAATAACAGCATCATTCATTATTACAACAAACACCTTTTTCATTGTCTTTATTAGCTGCTCTTGCCTTTTTCATATGCATAAAGACCTTTGTTGTTGGCTATCAGAGACCGAAACCATGGTGTAGTGTAATCGAGCAGAAATAGAAAAAGCCAAAATAGCCAACGTCTTTTGGCGAATCATGCAGCCTATACAAGAAGCTAACACGTCGTCAATGGAACAAGATCTTCTGCTGATACATTGGGGCTTTGAATGTACCTCTCGCACCTTGAAGGAAGAGCGGCATACAACGACGAAATCTCAGGGCTGACGTCTATGGCCACTCTCTGCTGCCAACAAAAAAGACTGAAGGCGGCATAGAAAGATCAATCATGCAACTCTCCACCAATAGGATTGACCCTTCTTCAACTCCTGCCCCTCGGTTTTGTGACACATACAAGTCCTTCTGCATCTTTAGCTCTAATAGAGAGAGACGATCGATAATGAAGAAAGACCACTCTACATATAGCATTCACGCTTACAGCATAGGAAGAACATAAAGAAGCCCATATCTCAAAATCTTACCATGAGACGTGGGGTCTTTAATAGAAACAACTACTGCTCGGCGGGGCCAAAGGAAACATGTGTACAAGTTTGACGTTCATCATGGGCAATCCCAGATTTCGCAATGTCGCTACCAGCCAAAGTGGATCGACCTCTTGAATTATTTTCGACGACGACCGAAAAATATTTTTTGGGCTGGTTGCGACATTGAACGTGAAATTTGCACACAAGACTCCTCTGACCCAGCCGATCAACATGGTTCTATTAAAGACCCCACGTTTCATTGTAAAGTTTAGAGATACAGGCACCTTTATATTTTACATATGCTGTAAGCGTGATGGTATATGAAAAGAAGTCTTTGTTCCATGCCGATCGTCTCTTTCAAAGATGCAGAAGGACCTATGTGTCACAAACCGAGGGGCAGGAGTTGAAGAAGGGTCAATCCTATTGGTGGAGAGTTGCATGATTGACCTTTTCTACGCCGCCTTTGTACAAAAAGGTCACCCGCCAGTCTTTTTTGTTGGCAGCAGAGAGTGGCCATAGACGTCAGCCCTGAGATTTCGTCGTTGTATGCCGCTCTTCCTTCAAGGTGCGAGAGGTACATTCAAAGCCCCAATGTATCAGCAGAAGATCTTGTTCCATTGACGACGACGTGTTAGCTTGTATAGGCTGCATGATTCGCCAAAAGACGTTGGCCATTTTGGCTTTTTCTATTTCTGCTCGATTACACTACACCATGGTTTCGGTCTCTGATAGCCAACAACAAAGGTCTTTATGCATATGAAAAAGGCAAGAGCAGCTAACAAAGACAATGAAAAAGGGGTTTATTGTAATAATGAATGATGCTGTTATTGAATCGCTCTTCGTGTGTAAATAACTCGTAACCAAGGCGACATAAAACATAATAGGAGTTCTCTGCTGTACACGATTTTATTTATGCGGACATACTCAGATCTCGCTCCTCTCTTTCACGCCCACGCACACGCATACATTTTGACACACACACCCAAGGTGAGTCAAAACAAGAGTCTATCAATGTCAACCTACGTTTATGTATCACTAAGCAATGCAAGTCTTAGATACTATCTATGATGTCATGGAGTAAGGCACATTGCTCATTTGGCTTGCATGGGACAGCATTGACGACAAGGACGTAAGGAATCAACAATCCACAGACCACAATGGAAGACGACGCAGCATGGATCAGCTTGCCACAATGTGTGGAATACCCAAGGTTGATATTGAACAGCTTTCAGGTAGGCGATTCAAGGTGACGGCAGGGTGAATACATACGATCTATATCTGACTCTGTGCATTTTTGCTTGTACGTTAGATGACAATAACACCATAACAACAGCAGAATGCTGGCATTTATGGATGGGTTATGGTGTGATTGGTAAGTACGAATTCCTGCCACAAAAGGACATCAATGAGTTAAAACACTCGTGTGTAGCTGATGAGGAAGATGAGACGAGTCATGTGATAGTCAATCGACATGTGCCACGTACGCAAAGTCTTTTTTCCACGTGAGAGTGACCGAAAAATCAGCGTGGGTTGATTCATCAGTGGTTGGCGTATCAACACCATCATCTTCACCGACCTTGCAGTATTCCAAGATGCTTGATTCATCAGCTCGATCCAGCACGGCTTCTTTTCCTTGTATTGACAACATGCAATTATCACGCATTGATCAGTGATTGACGTATCAGCTCCATCTTTGACCTACAAGTGTTCCAACATGCTTGATTTATCATCTCAATCTATCACGCTCTTGCTCTCTTGCATCGACAACGTACAAATATCAAGCATTTATCAGTTATTGAAGTATCAGCTCCATCATCTTCATCGACCTTGCACTATTCCAAGATGCTTCATTAATCAACTCGATCCATCATGACCTCTTTTTCATGCATCGACAACACACAATGATCAGTTATTGACGTATCAGCTCCATCATCCTTCGACCTAGCAGTATTCCAAGATGTTTGATTAATCAGCTCGGTCCATCATGCCCTCTTTTTCTTGCATCGACAGCAATACCCACGCCCAACTACATAAAAGCAAGGCTGTTGTCACCAACATTATCACACACCTCTTTCGTCTATCGCACATTTATCAAGATCCTGCTATTTGGTAAGTGCTAAGGAGAGCTGTTCAGTAATTTGAATGGGTCAGAAATAGTTCACTCATTGACCTTTGTCATCATCATCCATGTAGTTCTTCATGATCGCTTTGTTGCTGGTGGTGTTCATTGTGACATTTACTCCTATTCCCTGATGGACTCTTTGTGATGTATGTATGGCTTACCTTCCTCTTGATACGTTTGTATATTGACATGTGTGTTTTTGTGGTATAGTCACCTCCTCGAATGATGGCTATGGGGTGGTTTAATTACTTCCATCCGCCTACTCTACATCCCGTTACGGCAAGCGTGTTTGTCTTCCCTCTTCTTCCGCCACCAGCACTGCAATCAATGATCCTTGGGATATGCTGGATCCCACGACATGGAACACCTTGGGCGGTCCAAATGCCAAGCGTGTGATCAAGTGGAAGGATCCACAGCCTGATCTTTAGCAGCTCTTTGGTATGTCCTTTGAAGAGGTTGCTAGTACAATACTCATCATACTTGCTTAATTAGGCCTTAACACCAGAAACGCCACCAAAATCAATCATTTGGCCAAAGGTGTCAAGTTCACATTCTCTGGTGGCAAGCATTTGCAGGTCACTGGACCGAAAGGCAAGGTTGAGAACTTACTCAAGGTTTTACAGCAATCGGTAAGTATACCTTGTGCAAAACATATCATTGAGTGTCTCTTTCTAATGATGTACATAACCTCCTTTGTAGGTGACGCGATTAGAGTGTGGTCTCTTTCCACTACCCAAAAAAGTGCATATAATGAACAAGGAGTTGAAAATATGCCGCGCGACTTCGACAAGCATGAAGACGAGCTGCTGCCCTTCATACAATCATGTTGGCAATTAGCGGTAGGTTGATCGCGTTTTGCTTCACTACCTGTATTCTTGACTAATACAAATCTACCCGTAGCAACTCCTGAATGACACGATCGATAGCATCCATCACCTCACATAAAGAGCAAAAGCGGACTTTTCGATATCAAGGTGGTGAGCAAAGCTATCTTTTACTTGTTCAAGGCTATTCAAGGTTCAATGAAAGCTGTGTAAAGAGGTACATTGGCAAAGAGGGCTTGTTCATTCGCCAACAACAACACATTCGCTTTATTGACTCGTGTATCTTTCTTCTACAGATCCTTTATTGCAACACGTTCATGAGCGGTCATTGGTACAAAAGCCAACTGCAGCATACTACAAGACCTTGTTGATATGCGTGTCCATTCCTCGGTGCACTTGGATACAGTGGCATCATTCTTCCAGCCACCCGTTATCGACAAGGCTCGTCAAGACAACGCCAAATACATCGATGGTGCTACTTGAAGCTACTTGGTCTGAAGGATAGATAATGGCAAGGCATTAAGGAAAAGGTTCAAGAACAGCTATTCTTAAGGCATGTAGTAGGCCCTGCATTCGGCTGCTAGAAGTATGCTACGTATGTCGTAACAATCTCATACGCGATAAAAGCGAATTGCATAGATAACAAAGCTATGGGGTATCACCTCCTCCATCATTCTCCCTTTGATAAAATAAAAACTTTCTTTGATAAGCTACTGCTCGAAACACTGCACTGTTTTATTTAAAGGGAAAGCGGATCATGTCTCGTCTACATACAACATGCCTGCATTTGATCAAATGAAATGGGTTAGACAACATTCATCATGATGCTAGTATCGATATCAGGACACGGTATATTGCATCGACCAACAGTGAGTCATTCTCCCTTTCATTGCACAATAAATCTTGTCTTGGATAATTCCACTACTTCGACGACAGCGATTTGGTGTGTATTATTGGTATTGTAATCTCTGCGCGTTTACAGGTTAAGGTGCTTCTGTGTAATGTCTCCTATCGTAAATGTAGATGCTCTAGTATCGCCATACTCTGCTAGCAGCGGATGATGATGTCACAGGGAAAGCCATGATTGAAGATTGGTTATGATGCTGATGAGGATGATGGTGCTGTGCAGCAGCAGATGATGTTGTTGAAGACCCTGATATACATGGTTGCCGTTGTGGATGATGGTTGTTGTTGCTGGTATCTGCTCCTGCTGCTACAGCAACGGCTGCTGGATTGTTGGCTGTGGCGACCGGGCAATCTTTGTGAGCAAGTAACAAGGTCTTGAGATGGACGATTTCCTCTCGTAGCGTGTTTGCTTGCATTTGAAGCTGTTCATTGTCGTTCGTCAGGTATTCCATTCTTGCTTGCAAATTGTTGAGCCATTTCTTCTTTCGTTGTCGGCATTTCAAGGCAGCTATCAATGGTAATAAGGGATGTGGTATTAGAAAAGGGGAAGTATTATGAAGATCGATGGCCCACTTACCAATTCGGTTCCTTTCCAAAAAATTGCGTCGTTTTTCATCATCCTCATCTTTGCTGTTGCTGCGTGGACGTTTCCTATTCGCATGATGATGATGATTCTCGCCAATGATAGTAGTGCTCGATGTTGATGATGTTGATGATCCACTGCACAAAGATCCGGATCGTTTGGCGTGATTGTTGTTGCTGATCACACCCGTGGTTGTATTATTGTTCAAATGGTCGTGATTGTCTATGTAGATCACCGTGTTACTATAAAGATGATGGCGGTATCATTGATGTGTATTTTTACCTCTTGTTGATGAGATGGTTTCTTGTGTTTGTTGTTGTGATATGGAAGGATGAGAAGAAGGACCTTGCAACATTGAGGGAGATAATGGTCCTGCACGTAATGAGTCCCACGCAAACTGATTTGCCACGTCTTTGGGTAACACGCCGCTCCGAAGTAAAGGAGGTGCTGGGCTCGTGATAGCAGCAACAGGTGGAAGAACCGGTTTCTTATTATTGTTGGATGATGATGACGATGATGACGATAACGTGGTTGGATCATGGTTGGCAGCTGTGGAGAAGCTTTCTTCGAAGGGATTGGGTTCCTGATCAAGCTTTGCACTCGGGTTTAACGGCAACACTGCCATGGGTGGACTTGGTTCTAAACGACGTATGAGCTTGTCATATATATACATGAACACAATAGTAGCATCAACTAACCTGGCCTATCTTGTGGCTGTTCAATAGTGGCTGTAACTTCAGAAGGCTCATTGACCATTGAATTGCAAAGGAGGGAGAGAGAAAAAGAGGAAGAGAGAGAAAGGAAAGAAAGGGAAAAAAGAGAGAGTGCACTACTCAAGAGAGAGAGAGAGGTAAAAAGTATAAAAGGTCATTGTTCCATACACAACAAGAAGCATCTCCCTAAGTTACCTTTAGCTTTTTGGGGAATGACGCCCTCTTTCTAATTCACCCATTCCCTTGTACTCGATCGTGGTGCTATTTTTGCTGTAACGATAAACGCGACACACTGGTTCATGCAGCAGAGCGGGGTAAGTAGAGTTACGAGCGTATGAGCTAAATCGGCTTGGAAGATGTTGATGTCACCCTTTTTCCCCAAAGAACGTGCGTCAAGGCATCATCATGCATGTCATAAACTACACACACAGCATGCACTCCACATGGATCGGCAGCACACACACTATGTCTTTTTGCTACAAGCATCGAAGAAGAGGGACCGATCGTCAATTCTATTCACGCTTTTCATATTATCAGCAATCGATCCAAACAAGGGGAAATGATAATATGAATTTCTCACATACAATCATCATCTCTTTGTCACCTTTTTTTTACTCCTTTATCGTTCTCCCCTATCTAATTATGAGCATCCGTCACTATCTGTCAACTCATTTAATAAACCCATTGTCAATGCAAACGCTCTTTGAAGTGTCGCTGATGGGTTAAAGAAGCAAGCATCATATCATTTTGGAAGGTTTAATCGCACATGACAAGAGCTTATATCAGCCTTTGGATGACCATTTCAAGTTTGTGTTCAACCCACACCACGTGGTATACACGTTCGTACCACGCATCATATCACTGCAACCAAAAGTTCCCCCCTACTCCTCGTTACAAAGAGAGTAAAAGATGTATTAAAGGCTAAAAGATCACACGTAATCGTATAAATAAGAACTGGGTAAAGAGGTAAAGCTGAATGGTATTGTAGTTACAAGGGATGATAAGGCCATAAGCGGAGGAGAGGGTATATAACATATAAAAGATGCGTGCGTGCGTGTGTGTAGAATCAAAGTATCAAGCATGATTTGCGATCTTGGTCGGCAGATGTTCTCAACTTGACTATATGATAACATCCCAAGCGTTAATTAGTCATTGATTATATAGCAGCATCTCTTTTATACATACCAGACAAGGATACACGGGCAGCTTGATCAAAACATTCTCGCACGCCACGATTGTGCTTTGCCGAACATTCGAGGTAACGTACAGCATTGATGCTCTTTGCCACTTCCAGTCCCTTTTACAATGAAATGTCAACGCACATGCATAATTGAGTCATCACACATCACATCACACACACCTCTTCGTATAAAACAGGCTCGATGTTCTTGCGTTTGAGTACTTCATCGTTATCTCGAAGATCGCATTTGAGAGCAACCAACAGGATCTTGGCTTCTGGGCAATATTGATGTACTTCAGACAACCAGCGATTGGGAATATTCTCGAGTGAATCACGGCTATCCACTGAAAAGCAAAGAATGACGGCGTGTGTATCGGCATAAGAAAGCGTTCGTAATCGATCAAACTCTTCTTGACCTATACATCAATGATGATGGATGTAAGTAAGTTTGTCTCGATAGATTGATAAAGGAGAACCAAGGAGATATCAAGTCCCTGGGTATGTTGCTGTTGCTGCTGCTGCTGCTGCTTACCTGCAGTATCCCAAAGTGAAAGCTCCACTTCTTGATTATCCACCATCACTTCTTGTACATAGTTCTCAAACACCGTAGGTTCATAAACCTAAACAATGTCATTGGTGTTAACATGTATCCAGGGTATCCAGGCAACCCCACCCCCCTTTTTGCGTAAGCTCTTTTACACGTACCTGAGGAAAGTAGCCACGAGTAAAAACGTTCAAGAGCGACGTTTTGCCGCATGCACCATCACCACAGACCACCAATTTACGAGCTACTGGTTTCGATCCTCCTCCACAGAATCGCATGACGTTGTTGGATTGAGGTACGAGAAAACAAGATTAAGGGAGGGACTAGGTGCAACAAGAAAGAAGAGGAAATGGCTGACGGCAGCAGCGGCCCCAGCTTGGTGCCCGCACCAAGCAACGGCGGAGCTCCAACGCAGCAACGTGTGGTCGTACTACTACTACTACTACTACTACTCCCCCATCCAGCACAATGAATGGATGCTCCTATCAAAAGGTACATAAAGTGCATGAATTGTCCTTGTGATATGCATGCATCAATCAGCATAAATAAGTATATCAGATCATGTAGTAAATCGATTTGGTGATAAACCATGGATAAATGTGATACACGACAATGCTACATGCATGATTATTGCTCACAAGCAGCACATCTCAGCAACAGCAAATCTGTCAGAAAGGCTGGAACACTATTGGCTGCATACACACACAATGAACGCTTCATTCATGCATTTTCTTTGTCGTGACTTTTGCAATAGATTCATGTTGTTAGAAGGGTCATTCAGACACATCCTTAGCAAATAAAAGTGCCGCTTGCTGCTATGTATGTAGCATTGCCTCTTACTTTTGGGTTGTTGTATACGCGAACGGTGTATAATCTTGTCATTGAAAGATTTCTCTATGGCATCCACTTATAGCTCGAGTATATTTGTTGGCCATTTATGACATGACATCCGGTTTACCGGCGATGGGTGGTAGACGAACAAAACAACAACTCACTGCCGCTGCTGCTGCTGCATGGTCCAATTCCTATATGGGATGCTTTGATAGCCTAATGGATTCACGTGAAAAAAACGATCCTCTTGCAATACGTACATCTTCAAGGGGCTGCCTCTCTCATGAGACTGTGATTGTGTGATGTCATTTCGGAACATTGTATTCTTGGACTGCTATAAACGATACTAAACCGTAAAATTTACTTTGGTAATGGCATTGGAAAAAGGGATCCAGCTAACCAAAAGGAAAATTGCTGTATATGGATCTACAAGAAATGCTTGGAAACCGGCAATGGTGGCGGTGTGATTAATCGACCCAGCTATTGAATGATGTGCGTCGCACAACCATCACCATCATGATACCGTTGTAGCACCGCGTGTAGACGAGATTGACGATGACAATACAAACGGAGATATAACAAATGATGTCATTATCGAAGAAGTTGGCCTTGCTGTCTGATGGGGAAGATCTATCATTTATCTTTGACGTTGGGCTTTTTCATTGTGTCTTCTTCAAATCCTGAAGCATTTATTATGCGTATCAATACTAACGAACCTGTTCAACTATCATTGCAACGTTGACTGCCATGTTCCTTATCATGAATGATGCTAAGCAAGCGGCAACAATTCCCCGTCAAAATGGGTACATCATCTTAGGTGCTGTGGTAATGGACCTTTGTTTATCCGATGTTTGTTAAATCAGGGAGAGGTCCTATCTCACCCACTGCCACCTATTATTGGATGGTATGTAGTTATCAGGGGAAACATTCACTAGCATGCATACGTAGGTGATGTCCACATATTAACCCGATGCAATAAGCAAATACACAATGTTGATACATGTTGCATGGTGGCCCAGCTATGTGGCTCAGAGAACTTAGACGATCAAAAAATTCGTGTAACCGAAGAGTTTGTTTATTGAAGTGAAGCCAAGCGACCCATAAGAGATTGTTGATGAGACGTGCCCATAAGGGAAATACGACGAGGCCACGCGCACATTACTACTGGAACTGCTGCAGAAAGCCAATGACCAAAGAACGGCGACAAAGAGACGTCCTAAATACGTATACGCGTTAAACAAGCGTGTTGATAGGGTGAATGTACTCATTTCTGACTAATGGATTTACCAGTGCCGCGGACAGATATCCCGTGACGCCGCTCTTCAAGGCGGCGATCCGAGGATGTCGAAACCAAATGGGCCCCGCCAAGAGAGCAAAGACGAGACAAAGAGAGCAGCGACCTGTTGTATCCATAGTTGTAAATCCCACTCCTTTATATACGCACGCTGTACCTGACTCCGGCTATTTTCGTGTCACGATTACTTTTTTACGCGTGTGTGTGTGTGTGTATGTGTGTGTGTGTGTGTTGCCTTTTCATTGTCTTTGGGCCGACAATAAAACAGCCGTAAATCGTGTACGTGTTGCCCACCATCATGGTTAATCTCTCCCATACATACACATAACCCCCTTGTTAGTACTTGTTGTTTGTCTTTGGACTTGTCATGTTTATGTTTCATCACAACACACCACGCGTACCCTGCTGCTGCACATGGGGTGTCCAATCTACTACTACGGGAGATTCTGGGACACCTTGTAATCCGTGAGCTTGGCACTCTGCTATGTTTGCATTGCATTCCTGCGTCCTACAAACAAGTTGATATATGTGCTCTGTGGCTACTATGCAAATTTAAAGCCTACGTACATTCCTCTTTTGAGCAGCTGCTGATTTCCTTTTTACATACTTGGATCCGCCATATACAACAAGTTTGCATTGTCTGTGACACCCATGCGGACTCCACGCATCCCATTTTATTAATATGTGGGTAGGGTACATCATGATACGTAATGTAGATGGTAGTAATAGTGGCGTGGAGGGGGGTTGTGATGGTCTCATCTATCAGGGGCTTTTTGTATATATTGACGCGTCGTCCCACACGATAATGATGGTGGTGATGCACAAGGAAAATCATTTACTGTTTTTGGTTCTTAGGGTGTTGAGAGCCCCAGCAGCTCGGAATCACCTAATCGATAATTGCAACAGCAGCTCGTATACTTGACATGTCGTCATATTACATGGATCGTATTGCATTGTATATATATATGAAATCAGGGTGTGTGAGGATTATCTAATAAGGACGTCTTTGAGATCCGCCATGTAGATCAAATCCCGGCGTTGTGTGTGCCCTCTATCACAAAACTCTCGTTGCTGCTCTTCTTGGTTTTCAGCTCTTGCTTCCCTTCCACCGCCGCCCTCCTACGAAATGAGTAACTTTACCGACAATCCTTTCGCACTCGACAAGTTACGCAACACTCTCATTCGACTCGAAGATACAATCATTTTTGGTAACATGAGCAACACCTCTCTTCTTGTTCAACAACAACGACTCCTTTATTGACTTTAAACGCCACACGAACTACTCGTCGATTGCAGCATTGATCGAACGAGCTCAATTCGCATTCAACAAGGCTATCTACACACCGGGTGCGATTGAATTCAATAGTGCAACTGATGGACGTAGTTTCCTCGAATACTTTTTATGGGAGACCGAGAAAGTGCATGGTTGGTAGTAGTGAGATCCCCCTTTGTGGCCTATGTGTAATAATAACTCTCTTCTTGCTTCATTCCAATGATAATAGCCAAGGTCCGCAGATACACAAGGTAAACTTGCATATGGATAGATGGTTGTATGGTGGATCAATGTGCATATAGCTAACAACTTTGACTACGTAGCCCTGATGAATATGCGTTCACATCACCTTTACCAGCACCCATCCTTCCCCCCTTGGAATTCCCCAACTTTTTGTACCCCAACGACATCAATGTCACCAGCAAGATCATGGACATGTACATCAGCTCTATTGTGCCTTCAATCAGTGCCGAGGGTGATGATCAGCAATATGGTAGTTCGGCAACGAGAGATATCGAGTGCTTGCAGGCATTGAGTCGGCGTATCCATTATGGTAATGCGGAGCTATTGATATCAATGACTCATTTCATGTGTATACTAACTTTCATTTTGATAGGCAAATTCATTGCAGAGAGCAAGTTTAGAGATGATCCAGAGGAATACACTCGATTAGCCCTTGCCAATGATCGTGAAGGCATCAACGAATTGCTCACAAACCGTGCAGTCGAGAAGAAGTTATTGGAACGGCTACGACATAAGGCTCTGGTGTATGGTCAAACATTGGATCAGGAACAAGAGGGTACAAGTACACATTTACGTGTTCCCGTGGAAACAGTGGTCGAATTGTACGAGCGATGGGTCATCCCCCTTACCAAGGAAGTCGAAGTGGATTACCTTATTGTGCGTGGCCTTGCATACAAGAAAGATCAACAATAAATCTCCCTCCCTCATTCATATACATAGTCGCTCTTTGGACAATAGAGGAAATAAAGTGCTTTCATTTACAGCATGCTGACAGTGTTACCAAGATTCAAAGCCGAATAGCCGGATTTCATGTAATTAGAAGCACGGATGTTGCACCCGATGTTGGGGAATCGCAATGAAGTGCGCATTGGCAATTACATGTGGTGGTAAATATACATGGTAGCTTTATTCAATTGCATATCATTATTTCTGTGCATTTGCAAGCATTGCAGCTACTGCACCTCCAATCCCATTGCCGTCTCTTGTAATCTAATTGATTTGGTTAAGGTTGGGCCTTTTAACATCATCAATGACTTTTTCACTTACGCCAAGGTTGATACGATCCACTTTGTGGCCATACAAATCACGCAATGCTTCATTGACACGATTAGGGAAGTTGGGATAATGCTCGTAAATGTTGCCTTCGACACCTATTGTAATGAAGAAGGATGATGAATACGTATCCATAATGCATTAATAAATCAATGACTTACTGATCGTAAGGCCACCATCCAATGCATCTTGTTTGATAATGATGGAGCTGATACCAGCTGCAATGAGACGAGCTGCTCTTTGTCCCACCAATTGGCACATGCGTTTCACCGCACGACGATCATCAATGGTAGTCTTTGGGATATTCATGACCGATTCAAGAATATGCTTGGTGTCATCCAGCTCTTGGGTTTCATCCGATTCGATGGCACTCATGTAGGGAGCTTCAAATGCATAAGGTGTATTGAGGTCCTCGCTTCGTTGGTAATTGAAAAGAAGACGTCTATCGGCAAAATCCACCATGATTTGTCGTACGATTTCACCAAGATACATGCCTGACACCATCTTCTCAAAAATGTGCACACCAGGATTGGATGATTCACGGTTGACGCGATTGTCATAAAAAGTTCTCGGTAGATAATGTGCATTGTAATCACCAAAGGATCCCCATTCGGTGTTGATGATCATTTCACCATCGTCTCCTCCTCCCGTTTTGTCTTTGATATTGAGTTTTTCAATGCTGCTGATCTTTTCCCAATAGGCTGCATTGGTACCCGTACTCACGGTACAAGAGAGCAGTGTGTCAAGGCTTCGGTAGCAGTGTGCAAGAAGACAAGCAACGGCGCCATTGCATACGGCTTGGACTATCACTGGAATATGACGTCGACGTAAAGCGGTCTGTAACAGGTCGACGAGATTCTTATTTTGGGCACCGGTGACTGCAAAATCCTTTGTCCATTGCATGACATAGGCCTTGTTGATGGCCGTTTGATAGAGCGGGAATGAAAGCACAAACCCCAGCGACAACTTTTGACCGTTGTTCTCGTATCGAATAAACGATAAGAATGAATCCACAGAAACAGCAAGGTAGTCAATGAGATCGGTAATAGGACCGCGTTTGAGATGATCGTGGATGGGATATTTCTGCTGTCGTGTGGTAATTCGTCCTCGTCCATGTAATGTCACCAGATAAATTCGTACAGTGGCGCCTAATATCATAAAACAACATCAACATCAACATCAACTCATCATAAAGAAGGGTGGGATCTTTTTTGCTTACCACTTAATTCGAGACCAATGTATTCTCCACTCTCCTGACCTGTTGGATGTTGCGTAATCCATGATGGCAGCATGGGCACATTTGCTTTTTCATGCTGAATACCACGATTCATCTCTTCTCGAAAGCAATGCGCCACCCTTTTCAGGCTATCGGTCGACAATTCAAATTGCTCCTCTAATTCTTCAATGGCCTCTTCCAAATCCTGATGGCTCATTATGTGTGTATGTTCGATTGTGTAAAAGAAAAAAAAAGTGGATGAAGGAAAACACAAAAGGAAAGAGAGAAAAAAGAAGAAAGGAAACAACACACGCACACCCCAGTGTGCATGAATCAGACCATGGATAAATGCTCCGACACACAATCAGATATCCATAAGAGGTTAAACCCGCCACAGTGGATGACACCTGTTATTTGTTCCCCATTGCATCGTGATTTGTGTGTGTGTTTTTAAACGCGTTTGTATTGATCAACATTCAACATTACAATCTTATCAGCTCATCATTATTATCTTCGGGTTTGCCATTCGATGATGGGGATTGGTTACGCGCTTGTTCTGCTGACATTTGCAATACAGCCTCGGTGCCTGGAAAACCATCCTCTGCTGCTGCTGCAGTATTCGACTTGTCAGTGTCTCGAGGATCCGCAATCTCCAACAACCTAATCAAAAAACATTAAGTCCTATGGCTACCTCTCTTTTCTCAATGTGTATCTTCTCTACTCACGTATCAATGGTAGGTCCTACTTGTCCATCATTGGCTTGCAGGATCATAAAGCAAACATCAGGCTCAACGTTGGGGAACATTGTAATGATCGATTGTAAATTCTCATCAAAGGCGCGTCGTGCATCTTCAATCGCACGTGGATCTGGTGGTAAGGGACGAGGTGGAAGATGTGGTATACTGTTGGGTGATGGATATGGTTGTTGTTGTTGGTGATGTTGTTGTCCTTGAGGAGGTGTCGGTGGCAACGGCTGATTTTGATACACGGGTTGGCCGCCATAATAGTCACCTTGTCGTGGTTGATGTTCCTCTTCACCACTACTACCTCCTTCATTCAAACCTTGAAAGATCTTGCCCACAAAATTGAGAGGCTTTTGCATCGTCTTTTGAGCAAAGCTGCTGCCTTTTTCGATAAGTGCTGCTGCTTTCACTGGATCAATCAATGGTTGTGCTTGTGCCTGGGGTGATCTCGAAGGATGTAGCGCATTCTCATAGTTGATCTTTTGCTTGTCTTGTGACACTGAAGGACGCTCTTGCTCCAATTCCGCCATTGTCCTCTCGATATTCCTATTATCATTCCTCCTCTTGTCAACCAAATACGACTCTTCAGCATCATCAACCATGTATACTTACGCATCAAATTCTTCCTTTGTGATCGATAATGAATTGGCATCCATGCTTTCAATAAACGTAATAGAGCCCAACTATATGAAAGAATACATGGTCAATAACCTCTTTTTCTCCTCCCTCATGCAGCCATCATCATTTGCTTACCAAATTGGTGAGATAGTAACCAGACTCCGATTGTAGGTGCTCTGGATTCCTGAAGCGAGATATATACCTTGATAACAACTTGCATTAGAGCTCTCTCTCTTTATACTTGCCACCCACTATTCATACTTACTGGACATTGGATACAAGACGTGGGGGATTTGCTCTGAGGACCACATAGATCAAGATGGGTAAAAACTTGTCTGCACCACCTTCACCATCCACATGCTTTATAAGACCTGATAACAACGAGTGTTACATGGCTGACATGGAGCACCGGGGTACAACAATACTTACCAAAAATGACCTTGCAGCAATTGAGAATGCAGATCAATTTATCACGGGGTGCCTTGTAGTTGTTTATCTTGAGGAGCTCTGGAATGGGATGCATGTTAGAAAACACAACCTCCACCATCATGGTGTATGCACCCTTTTCCCTTTTTACCTGACTCTGCAAATGTGAGAAACGATTCATTGTGTGTTGTGTCGGGTATATCAAGATGTTCAGCTCGAATCCATCGGAAGATGCTAATCTTTTGATGTAAAATCTCGTCTCTTTCTTTGTCATCGGTGGTACTCGGGGTGAAGGTACTACCCTTTGCATGTTAGAGTGCATCTTCGTGTATGTATACATGACAACTTACGCGTGGTACAAGCGATTCATCACCAGTTTTTCCATTCCCTCTTTGGCATTCTCAAACTCCTGTTCCGAGACGTTCCGCCAAACCTCGCATTCACGCATCTTTACGTAAATAAACTATACTTACTCGTTAGATAGGAATCCCCTTTTTTCATCCATCCTCTTCACTCCCAACCAGCCAGTTTACCCACGTCTAGAAAGTCTTGGATGATCTTGATTTGTTCATTGACAGCCCAAGGTCGTCGATCAAAGGCTTGTAGGAAACTAATAATAAAATTCCCCATGTTAGCCTCAGCCTCTATCCACCCACATGTTGATTAACGGACCTCTTGAAATAGCGTTTGATGGGCGTAGCACTACGACGACGCATTTGTTCAAGGAAACGATTGAAATCAAAAGGAATTTCTTGTCGCTCGCGTCCCTTTGTTTCGTCGGCGGTGCGTTTGATATCCGCTAATGAAGGCCGTCGTCCCGACGATACATCTGTATTGTTGCTATCGCCACTGGTGCTGATACGCTTTTGGCTATTATTGTCATCGGGATGATCGTCGTCGTCGGTTTCATCAAACTGATTAAAGATGTGCTGCAGTTCCTCGTTGTTGGGCTTGGTAGCTTCGTGATCCTCTTGACTACGGCTTTCAGGCCTAGTACATTTATGCATATTACAAATGAGACTCTTTTTAAAAAGACATGGGCAATGTACCTCGATGTGGGTGGTGAAGAGTCTGATAAAAGAGCGTCGAGCTCATCTTGATGTTCTTGGTGAAGCGCTGCTTTCTCATCAAGCTCTTGGTCATGGTGGTTGCCACTCACAGCGTCATTGGAATGCAAGGCCGCCTTCTCATCAAAGTCGTCTGCCAATGTGTCCGGGTCGACTGGATCGTTGTTGTCCTTTTTAGGTGGTTGTTCACCCATATTGGTATGTTGAAAGAAGAAGAGAAAGAAGTGTGTACCTCAGCTGCTCTATGTCTCGGAATCCTAAATGTAGCTGGGATAATACCACACCACCACTATACTAAAAGGCAGAGAGAGCGGGTGTGATTGTTTGCACAAGGTAAGTATCATTGTTTGTTTTTCATCAAAGCAACATGCAGCTCTCTTTAGCACAAAGTTAGGGGAGAGTTCATTGTGTGTGCATTGCAGATAATCATTCTATACACATTTATTGCTTTCTCTTTCAAGTGGTAAGCTCGAATACAGGCCACCATGGATGGTATTTAAAATTGATACACGCCTTCTTTTCTAGATTCTTGTCATCCGATAACTGTGTAATAATAATCAGATTGGCAACGCATGTACGCATCATAGCATTGATATCCTGCAAGAAAAATACGTCAGCTTCCTTCATTTGGGGCAAGCAGCAAATAGGAACATGTGTTTTACCTTTAAATAAGCATCTCGGCACATTTCAGTCGAGCTGGTCTCTAATAAATCGCTGGTCACCTTTCCCAGAATACTCTTGGCCAAAGTAAAATCTTGGTAAGCACCATTGATAAGCACCGATTTATCAATCGCATGCACGTCCAAAGCGTCCTTTACAGCGTCATAGGACAATGGTTGGGGTGACGATAGTTTCATAAACGACTTGAAGCGGTGGTTGTATCTTGTTTCAGGATCGTCAAATCGTGGTGATAGCACCTCCAGCTGCTGTGTCTTTTTCTGCAAGAACATGAGCAATTTGTATGTCCCACTGCTTAGGTTCTGGTACAATCGGTTGAAGATGCGTCGATAATTGATATACTGTTGTGCATGCATACTACGTCGAAGCTCATCATCCATCTTTTTTCCTTTGTCGCTATCTAGTATCGAAGGAAGGTTATAAAATGGTCTCGTGAACGTCGTCATGTTGCCATATCATACCTAGCTGACGTATTATTTCAACATCCAGTGAGTTCAATAGCGCGTGCTGGGTGATATTCAGATGTTGTAGGTAGCTATAAAAGTAAATGAGTATCGCGTGCACACCATCAAAATGACTACTTTTTCCACTTACATATATATAATCGCATATTCATGGGAGCCATAAAGTTCCAACTCGAATCCAAGTAAAAGAATCTTTTCCAGCATACCAACTTTGACATGGTATACCCATTTGGAGAAATAATAGGGTGCCTCCCGAAATGGCTGGCAATAAGACCATGTCAGCATCCATCCATCATGTTGGGGTATGTCCTTTTACTTACCACAGCTTTGTGAATCATGTTATCCACAACAGTCGCCTACATCAAGAGTCAATAAAAGGTGCCTTGCAATAGCCATCGTAGTTTTACCTCTTCTTGTAGCATCTCCCACTCTGGTAAAAGCTTGCTCAGAATACGGCGTTGTCGAGAACGATTGTGGCATTGTATTTTGAAAAGATCGACAAATGGCTAAAGGCATACGTTATGAACACCTTGCTGATAAATACATATAATTTTACCTACCAATGCTGCCCCATCCAAGAACCCACCTAGCATCGTACGAGCTTCTGATAGCGCTTGTTCATCGACCCCTTTGGGTGGTGACCGAGAATCGGGACGCAGGATCCAATCGGGTGGTTTTGATATCTCGTCAATAGCCTTACATATCCATCGCACTGGTGGTTCAAGTCCAAATACTCTGTTATCGTGATACAAAAGGGACTTTTTTTTCTTTTTGTTAGTACCTGAAACCTCATAACCAGGGCCAATCTTACATTGAGTTTTGATCTTGAGAAAGCGTCTGCATAGGGTCGAGTGGCTCCAAACATTTCAAAGAACGTCTTGTGATCGGATTAGCCGTTATTCATGCAACAATGCTCATCTCATCCTTACCAATAATGATCGCACGGATGGATAATTGGTCACACTGCAGACAAGTTGAAGCCGTTCAATAAGCTCTCTATATGATTTGTATGCCTGGATCTTACATTAGCCCCTTTGCTCATTCCTTCCCATAACAAAAAGCTAACTCACCTCTTCTTCAGTTTGGAGGGTGATTGGACGTGGAGGTGCTTGTGAGGTCAACTTTCTATTGATATTTGGATCAAAAGCTTTCAGAAAAAAACACCATGAGCAAACATGTTTTGCATATCGAGGAAATGGTTTGATGACTCACCTCCTTCCACTGGTTCTCCTTTTCCGATCGTCATTGATACAGCCTCATCATCCGTGGCTTTGAGTAACGAAAGCACCTTATCCAATTCAGCGTGTGCGGGAGAAAGACCTTGACAACGTGGTTGTGCGAGATAAGTCAATGCCAAAAAGTAGGATCGACGCATGACCAAGCGATTCACGAGGGAGTTTGTAATAGGATTGTTGTCAACGTTGTTGCGTAGCTGCATGATGGCTACATCCAATAGGTTCATGACATAAGAATCCGTGTATTGCTCGTAGAGTGATAGACCAAACAAATTGGTGGTGAAATCTTCTTCCTATGTCATCTTGTTGATATGGACCCTCCTCCTTTTTCCCTTTGACGACCTACCTCATACACGTTACATGCTGTCATCTCGATCCAAATGTAATAGCAGCATTTAATAGCACCAAATAAATAAGCCTTCAAAGCCGTACGCAATGCATCTGGCCAACTTTCTTCTGAAGCGAGGGCGTGGATGTGATGAAAATAGATACAAGTGTACACCGTTTGAGCGAGGGAATGACCAGACAACCACCCCATCTGTGAATGAATCGGCGGGCATAATCAGTGTCAAAGGGCACAATGATAGAGAAAGAAGACCCATCTACTTACTTCACAGCTCAATAAACGATCCATAATCCACAAAATCTGCCTGGCATCGAGAGGTTGCTTGATATCAAAGGGAGTCGAGTCGCCGATCGCCATACCCGTGTCCATTTTCGGATCCATCACTTCAATCGCACTCATGGCGTCGAACAAGGTAAACGATCTGAGGTGCATCAGTTGACCCACTTGGAAATCTTTTGTAGAGTTGGTTGGCATGGTTGCATGTCGACGGTGTCTGTTATCGAGTTACCATTGGTTGCTTCATCGAGAAAGCTGGTAATGTCTTTCCAGGGCGGTGCCATGAAGTTCTGATCGACGTCGTCTTGAGGAGTCGCACCGGGAACGTTAATGCTCAAATCGGAAATGGCCTCTTTATGAAGGATATGTAAGTCGCTTATCGCATAGTAGTGCCTTTGTTCACTTACCCCTTATGTCACTAACGTCTTCCATAGGAGGGTGTGTGCGGGGGGGG